ACACACACACACACACACACACACACACACACACACACACACACACACACACACACACACACACGCGCGCGCGCGCACACTTACGTTGTGATACTCCACCACGTCCTCAACGAGGTCTATACCATCAGCCAGAGGGATACGAACGCCTCGCTTGGTCCAGTCTGGAAACACGCACACGTGCACACAAGGCGGCATGATGAGCGCGTACTCAAGCGTGTCGTGTGCGGATGTCATCTTACTGTTGATGAGAGGCACCACGGACATCTGCAACATGGTCTTCAGAGGAGCCTGCAGAGGAATCAGCTGATGGATGTCAGACATGGGGGGTGGGGGGAGGGAGACGTTTAAAACAACCCAATGAAATGTGACATGTCAAAAACACGAAAAAAAATGACATTAAAGACACCACACACAAAAAGATGAGTCAAAGACATGAGTGCCAGACACACGAGAGACACATGAACAATAAGACTTACAGGCCAGACATCAGGAGGAAGCTCAAAAAAGAGACATCAAAGACACACATGGAAAATAGATTTTAAAGATATGGCGCGAATGCGGAGGACATCAACTTACATTTTGACAACAGATCAGTGAATGAAAAGCAGACAGACCACACAAAAAACTGAACAAAGCCATGTTGGGGGGTTGGGGGAGGGCACCTCACGAAAAAACACATCCAAGGACATAAAAACAAACAAACAAACAAAACAGCTCATCAAAGACGGAAGAGAAGCTTCCTTACTGCCAGAGATTCCAGCGCTGATTGGTTGGAGTAGATTTTGAACCTGAAAGAGTCAAAAACGCGTTGAGGACGTGTGCACGTGTTTCCGCGTGTGTACATGCGACTGCGAGCGTGCTTTGACCTGCGCAGGTCGGCTTGTACCGCCAGACGTTTTCCTCTGATGAAAACTTTGGCGTTAAATTTGGTTTCCTGGAGAAGCACAGAAAACAACATCCTGACCTCTTTGGGAACTCTCGGCAAGATGAGTCCCGTACGTGCGTGCGTACCATGGTCATACTGCTGAGTAGCACGGGTGCCTGGCCGGCAGGCATCAGCATGACCTTGACGAGGGCCGTCATGGCGACGGTGGCGCCTGACGTCTTGATGGTGGACTTTGGCGGAGCGTTGACAGCCAGTTCCAAAGACACGGGCGAGTCCATCAGTGCCGGATTCTAACAACCAATCGGAAGGCCAAGTCTTTACGCCTTGTCTGTACTTGGTGGTTGAAGACACGTCAGTGACAGACATCAAAGACACAACACACCTATCGGACATCAAAGACTCCTGAAAACTGATGTCGAAACACATTGGAAAGACAACATCAACGAGACGCACCAGAACCATCTCAAAAAATCAAAGATACGTGGCTAGGTCGACATCAAAGACACACTTGGGGAAATACACATAGGACAGTTGGACGTCAAACAATCAAAGGCACACGATGATGGATATCAAAGACAGATGTGTAGGACGAGGGAGACATCTAAAACGTGTAGGAAACCGGCTCTCAAGGACCTGAGTTCCGCACCCTGTGTTAAAGTGACACGGAGAACAAACATTCAAGACACATGCAAAAACAGCGATGGAAAGCAAACAGCAAAGACACAGAAGACCGACATCAGCAGCACGCAAAGGACAGCCACGATAAGCACAGGTCACGGTGTGGCAAAGGCACGTGTCGTCAAAGACATCCAAGACACGACGTCACTCACCAGCATCATGACGGTTCCGAAGTAGGTCGTCCTCAGCAGCATTTCCAGATCTTTGGACATCTGACAAAGACACAAAACGTCAAAAGACTCGAGCGCCTCACCCGCTGGCGCGAGGGCGGCAGCGGCTCACGTTGTCATTGGTGATGTTCATCTGGAAGATTTCCGCCTTGTAGTAGGAGAAGAGGCCGCTGTCGAAGAAGAATTCGGACAGCGCCAAGTAAACCATCCGGTCATACTCTCGGATGACGGGCTCCGCCGCGTAGTTGACCAGGGTGTCATTCTCGTCCCGCAGCTCGAAGAACATCCCCTGGCAACCGCGCGCATGTTGTCATCTACACGCGCCGTTGCTCGGCGCCGCCCACCGTGTGCGTGCACGCGTCTCACTCGGAAGTTCATGTCCAGACTGCGAGACGTCACCAGCGGGTCGTCGGTCAGCGAATAGTCGATCCCGATGTAGCTGTCCACCTCCGTTCTCACCGGGATGCTCTCCAGCATGGAGTTGATGTGCACTAGAGACGCATGTTGCAGGGCCGGACAGATCTACCCGCACGCAGCCGAGACACAGACTGAGTGAGACGGGTGGCAGAGAGACATGTTAAACGGCAGAGGGACAGGGAGTACACGCTGGTGGGAGGAAGACGGCCGAGTGGCAGGTGAGTCGGAAATGGGCGGGAGACAGACAGGAGAAAGAGATAGGTGGTAAGACAGGCAGACAGGTGAGAGACGCACTGAGGAGGGACTGAGAGGCGAGGCAAACATGTCAGAGACACACAAGTGAGGCCCTCTCAGAGAGCGAGACAGGTGGAAGCTCGTGAGACAGAGGCTGAAAGGCAGACAGGGAGAGAGACAGTAAGGAGACATCGAGACCGGTCCACACAGGTGTGAGGAAGACACAAGTGAGAGACAGACAGGTGAGCGAGTGAGAGACAGATGTGTGGCAATTAGGGGAAGTAGAGACAGACATGTGAAAGAGATGTGAGACAGGTGAGAGGGAGTGATAGACTGGTGACAGACAGACAGGCGTGTGACAAACAAGTGAGAGCCAGGTGAGAGACAGACAGGTGAGAGAGTGACTGGTAGAAGGCAGAACAGTGAGAAACAGACAGACAGGGATGACCAGGTGACGGACTGCTGAGAGACGGACCCGGAGATCGGTGGAAGACAGACAAGTGAGACTCAGATGTGAGACAGGCAAACAGCTGAATAAGCAATAGACAGACATGCAAGATTGATGAAGAGACAGACAGGCAAGGGAGTGACAGGTGAGAGAGAGACACGCACACCTGCTTGTTGAGGAGGAAGCGCATGCCAGTGGTGAGAAACCTGCCCAGGAAGTCGTAGACTCTCCTGTGGAAGAAATGGGCGGTGACGATGACGCCGTTGGTGAAAGACGTTCCGGACGCCGTCGCCGTCGGCCACGTTACCCTAACGTTCCAGTGAACTTTGCCTTCATCTTCTGGATTTTGGCTTCACAGGTGACGTTGTTGATCCTGAGGCGTCCGAGCGCGTCTCGGCCCAGGCCGAGCGCTGTGTTGATGCGGACGCCGTCGGCGGACGCCTCGATCCTTCCTGTGTCGTAACTGACGCGTGCGCGAGTGCTTTGGTCATTTAGCTGGCAGTGGCGGCGGCGGCAGTGGCGGCGGCGGCGGCGGAACTCACAGGAACCAGTAGAGGAGCCGTCGGTGGAAGCTGAGCGTGATGGACGAGTTCTGTACGTCAAACATCACACCCGCCTCGGGAAGGAAGCTCAAGTTGGCGTAAGTCAGGTTGAGCTCCTTGATCTTCACGCTGGACCACACGACAAACGCAACGTCAGCTGGCCGTAATGCTGTGCCATTGCATGTAACGTGCCGTACTGTTACGCCACGGCGTTATGCCTTAGCGTTATGCTTTAGCTTTACATTGGAGTGTTATGGCGCAGTGTTACATTGCAACTTTATGTCACTGTGTTATGTCATAGCAACACAGTGTAGTGTTACACTGTAGCCTTACACCAGAGCTTCAGCCAAAGCGTTATATGTCCTTGTGTTACATGATCATGTTGGCATAGCATTACATTGTTTCATTGCGTCAGTGTTACAACGAACGGCATGGTGTTACGTTACGGAGCAGTGTTAAGAAAGAACGTTACGGCATTGCATTATGTCAAAGTAATCCTGGTACAGTGTAGCGTTACATTATAGCATCCCACCATTACGTTGTAGTGTTATGCTGTAGTGTAATGCAGTGTTTCGGTGTTCCATTACACTAGAGTGTTACAGCACTATAGCGTTACGTTGTTTCATTCCACCATAGCGTTATGCCGTAGCATTGAGTCATCGCACTACGTAGTAGCGCTATGCTGTAGCATTACGCACCGCGTAACACCGTGGTGTTACGGCGCAGCATTACGCCACAGCTTGATGCTAACTTGTTGTGTTGAAGTGTGAGTTGATGCGGGCGCGGTGCGTGGCACAACATACTCGTTGATGGTGTACTGGAAGTTTCCCTCCTTGCCGCTCATCTCGGGCATGCTGATGTTGCTCAGTTCCTCCTCCACAAACTTCTGCGTCTCCCATTTGACTAGGCAAAAACACAATGAGGCTCATTTGGCAGCTCAGCGTCTCGGCCATGGCCGTATGGTCTTACGCATGTCCAGGCCTCTGTCCGTGATGCGGATCTTGCATCCGGCCGGCTCGCCGGTCGCCATGGTCCCCGTCAGCACGTAGACGACGAGGAAGTAGCGGGGCCAGAGACGGGAAGTCATGCCAAAAGCCAGACCCTGGATTGCAGAACATTCCGCTCCGCTTGAGAAAGTACAAGCAGCAATGCACGCACGCACAAACGCTAAGGATGTTGATGGTGAACCCCAGTAACCTTGCTTCCAAAACATTCCTCCTCCAAACACACGGGCGCGTGCACACGCCTGCACACACAAGCCGAGCTGCTGAGACTGAAGTGGCGAAAGGACGCTTTTCCCCACATTGGTCCTCTCTCCTGGTTTCTTTACTTTCTGTTTGTTTCTGTTTGTCATCTTGCCGCACTGCCTGACGCTGCCTGCTGTTTGTTTGATGGACGAAAATTAGTGGCAACAATGTAGAACGCCTTTTGAAGACAAGCGGGATGCCCTCCTGCCTGGCTGCCAACATCTAAGCGACCACAGCGCTTGAAGTCTGGCTTCAAACGAGGGTTACAGTTTCAATTGAGGGTTTTAATCTATGATTTGCATTCCAAATTCGGGTTTTAAAAAAAGGGTTAAGATTTCAAATTAGGGTTTTATAGGAGGGTCAGGGCCTCCAAATGAGGTTTTTGATCTCAGGTAATATTTCAAAGTAGGGTTTTAAACTGGGGTCCAAAGGTCCAAGGTAGGGCTCCAAATGACTATTTCAAAGTGGGGGGTTGGGTTTCAAAGGAGGGGCACATCGGTGGGCAACCGGCTGGGCATCCAGAGTGTCGTTGAAGCTTTCCAAAGGCAAGTCAACAAGTCATCTCACCGCATGCCCGTAATTGCTCTTAATGACAGCTGAGGGTGAGGGGCGACTTCAAAGAGCCTTTTCAAAAGAGCCAGCGATGACCGCTGGGTGACCTCCGACCCATCGTTAGCGAGCCCGCCAAGCAAAGGCCTAATCAGCATCTTCATCCTCTTCCCCCCAATGTACATGACATGCCATGTTGCCGTGGCACCTCGGGATCCCTCTGACGCACACCAGGGCTTTTGATAGCAACCGCGAGAAAACGGCAAGAACGGAAACGCCGCGGAGAGGCCCGGACGCCGTTTGGGCTTGGCCTGCTTTGTGTGGTTCACCCCTTCATCCCATCATTTAGACTTGGACTTCTGAGAACCCGATTGCAGGGAACAATGTGAACAGCGGGTTCCAAATTATGTACATATGTTGTGGGGAGGCACTTTTACGCAAGCCTCACTCAGCTCTCTGCGTGTTTTGGGACGCTTGTTTGATTCAACCTTTGGGACATTTGGAAGAGGCCGTGCTGAAATGAAGGCCCATAGAGGGGAAAGGTCTTCTGCTGGCCGGGAAGAAGGCCAAAACAAAGAACTGGCGCTGCATCGTTTAAACCATGTTTGTCAATTGGAGGTGACATGCTGCACATGGGTCAACGAAACGAAAGGAAATCCTCTTTGGGAAAGTTGGAGCAAATGGCTGACGTGGGGGTGGTGGGCGGTCATTTTTGATGCACCAGAACACAATCTGACATGAACACAAGCTTCTTCTTTATATTCTCTTTTCTCTCTTTTTCATTTGGCGTTCCTCCATTTGTGAAGAAATATTACATTGTTACACAAATGTGCAACTCAAAAGACAAGATAAAAACGGTACAGTGAAAATATGTCAGGGACATCAAAAACTGTTAAAAGCAATCATAAAAATAGACATTTAAGAAAGACAGACGAAAAGGCAAAACAACACAAACTAATAAAGATCATAAATGTTTTTTGAAATACTTCACATTTCACAATCCAAACATACAAAACATACCTGAAAACCCAAGTCGACAGATTAAAAAGACATACATTTGCTCCAACAATCTCACCTGTCCATCATGTGTCCCGACCCGTCTTGTGTGTGTTTGTGTGTGCGCGTGTAGATGTTACAAGTACTCACAGTTGAGAGATAGACTTGTTCAGTCTTCTGGATGTCTTCACGACTGCCCACTCGCTTGCTCTCTTTTTATCCCCAGGGACTGGTTTTTACCCCTCCCCCGCCGCTGTGTGTGTGGGTGTGCATTAGACTGAGATTTACAGCCTGACTGTAGACCGTTTAAGGGGCGGTGGGGGGTCTCCCAGAAGAGCGAAACTTTCCTGGAAGTTCTGCTCTCGAATTGTGCGCGTGCGTGTGTGTGTGTGTGTGTGTGTGTGTGTGTGTGTGTGTGTGTGTATGTGTGTTGGAGTATGTTGACTTGAAAGTGGGCCTATGTTCCGCTCACTGTATTTCCATCGAGTGTGCCAGTAGCTGATTGGCTCTGCAACTCGGATAACGGCAGCAAATGTGCCGTGAATGGCTCGTTTAGGCTCAAGTTCGGTCCTTCCAGCGGCCCGTGAGCCCTCAGATGTGTTTTTTTTTTAATTGTCATTGTAGTCCCTGCGCGTTTGCCGGCTGGCCGCCGCGAAGTGAGCTCGCCGACAATTGCGCACTGACCCGGTGTCGATACCGCAGCGCCCCCTGCTGGTGTGCTTCGAAAGCCCCCCCAGGATTTCACAAGTCAAAACTCGCGTTTGCAGAGCTTCCCCGGCCAGACTATTAAATTACATCTTGATCCTCTCGCCCAAGCATCAATTGTTAATTTACATGTCGGGATCAATATTTAACGGTATTTCACTTTTTTTTAACACAGTAAGACACTGTTTTCACATCGGGAATGTACAGCAATCCATAGTTTTATGCTTTTAAATTACAGTTATCTACTGTTCTTGTTGACTGTCTGATTTAACAGTTAATTTACATACTTGGGATGAATATTTAACAGTACTTTACAATGATTATAAAACGCAGTCAGATACTGTTGTAAATTCACCGCAAAATTACATTCGTTACATTACAGTGCAGTAAAGCTGGGGATGGTTAAAATTATAACATAGACGTCATTGTTGTTGTTAAAGTTGAATTCATGAACAGTAATGGTTGTTAGCCTATGAAATATTTGGGCTCCATTTCAGGTGCAGAAGCACATGTTGGCCACAAGATCGCGCTGTTGTCACAGATTAGCACCGGCCATCATTATCTCGATTTAAGGTTAAGTACATGAGATGTTTTTTGTAAAACGTGACCCCATTAACTGATGTGATTGAATTATGATAACAATGTTCATAGTTCTTATACCAAAGTCTTTTCAGTATCGATTGACGAACAATGTGACGATATTACTCGTAATACACAAAAACAAGGATACTGAAGAAATAAACGACTTCAAGCGTCCGACGGTCACGTGGACAGTCGACTCCTTCGCGGAAAGTGCCGGAAATAGCCGAAGTCTCACAAGTGGGACGGGCAATGGAGCGAGCGCAGATGAGCCGCACCGAGCCCCGGCAGTGAACGCACTTTGATTGATAGCTAATTGCTTACGTCATTAATAGCTGTCGCTGGCATACATTGCGTGATCTTATTTCGCAAGAGTTTCGCAAGTGAGCTTCGTGTGACTTCCAAGGATGCAGCGGCTCGAAAGTGGTGCCAAAAGGTGAGTGAGCTGGTCGTTACACCATGAAAACTTGCACCGAAAGTTGATGGCGTCATGTGCGGCGGTGGCGTTCGCACGAGCAACCTGTGACGTCACCAAGAGTTGTGTTCATTTTTGCAGTGACCTTCAAATTCAGCGGGGGTCTGTGCTTTAAAATCAATCGGGCCACAGCGTCATGCACGCCACTTTTGTCAACATCATGTCCTTCACAATGTCATTGTTTACAAAGTAATGGATGCGATGTTTTGTCCTGCCTCGGCAAGGTCGCCCTTAATATGAAAACAAGGTGATGTTTAGGAAGCCGTGTACAATGCTGTTGGCAATGTTTACACTGTGTCTTGCAGTGAGTCCCTTTTCAATGTCACACAATGTTTATGAGGAGGTGTGCAGTTTTTGACCATGACATCTCAAGATGTTTTGTAATACAATGTGTCAACTTAAATGGATTGATGCAAAGTGGAAAAGTGTTCTGTAGTCTGACGAGTCGACATTTGAAATCCTTTTGGGAAATTGTGGACGTCGTGTCCCCCGGGCCAAAGAAGAAAAGAACTTAATGGACACGAAGATCAAAAGTCATGGTGATGGTATGGGGCTGTGCTAGTGCCAATGGCATGGGTAAATTCTACATCTGTGAAGGCACCATTAATGCTGAACGGAACGTAGAGGTTTTGGAGAAACATATGCTGCCATACAAGCAACGTCTTTTTCATGACTGATTTTTTTGGTGCTGCAAGCAGCAGGTAAGCATGGTGACGGGACGTCGTGGTTGCGGCAGGGCGCACCCGGATGCGGGCGAGGGTCTAGTGCACGTGAACGTGGGCGGGCTGAGGCACAGCCTCCGCTGCAGCACGCTCAACAAGTTTCCCGACACCAGGCTGGGAAAACTGCTGGAGTGCCGCTCGGAAGAGGACATCCTGCAGGTCAGTTTGCTTCTCGTTTTACAAAAGACAGTTGCGCCGCTGACCAGAAAGGGCTAACTCTTCTTTTTTGAACATAAGTGCAGAATTGAAAAGGGATGTAACAATGTCCAAACATCACAATACAATCTGATCACGATATGAACTTCGCAATACGATAATTATCTTTCAGTGCATCATTGTACTGGTGCATAACTATGCTGAGTTTTGATAGAACATCTCAATATTATTAAATGAATAATTATCACGACTAAATCTGCAGGTGTGCGATGACTACGATGTGCAGCAGAAGGAATTTTACTTCGACAGGAATCCCGGCTTGTTCCCGTACGTGTTGCACTTCTATCAGACGGGAAAACTTCACGTCATGGAGGAGCTGTGCGTCTTCTCATTCAGGTTAGGAAGTCGCGTTAAAATGGAGGTACTCGAATGACTTGGAGTCCTTTCACCCCTATTGGGTTCATGATCTGTGAACCTAAAACACGATGATGAGTATGCTTCTAATTGAAGCAGGGTGGCTTTAATTGTTGCCGTTTTTGGGGGGGGGGGTCAGTCAGGAGATGGAGTATTGGGGCATTGAAGAGTTCTTCCTGGACTCGTGCTGCAGTTTTCGTTATCACGAGCGCAAGCTGGGAACCCGCCGCCGGATCAGCTGGGACGGCGATAGCGACGATGGCTGTGCCGGTGGGCACGCCGACATATGCCGACTGCGCACGTGAGAAATGCGCCATCCTCGACAATCCTTGTTCTTCCTACACTTGTTCTTAGTTCATTTCTCAATCTTTCTCCTCTCGTTCTGCTCTTTCGACAGGGAGCTGCAACACTTCGCCGAGGTGCGGTACGGCGGCGCGCGCCAGCGTCTGTGGCTGACGCTGGAGAATCCGGGCTACTCGCTTCCCAGCAAGCTGTTCAGCGTGGCGTCGGTGGGTGTGGTGCTGGCCTCCCTGACCGTCATGTGCGTCAAAAGCCTTCCCGAATATCAGGTGCGCCGCGGCTCGCACGTACAGTACCATGTCGACGACGCCACGTTGACCGGCGGCCGCTTCGGCGCTGTCCCTGACCGTCATTGCAGACTTTCGACCAGGACCGCAACTTGATTGAGGAGCCCGCCGTCGACGTAGTGGAAGCGCTGAGCACGTGCTGGTTCACCTTGGAGGTAGTTCTGTGTGCGTGTTTTAATGTCACTGTGTTTTGTAAAGCTGCGCAATTCATCGAAAATTAATTTAATTCTGTCTTCCTGTGAAAAACGAGTTCTCTTAAGTTAGCCAAGCGCAATTTTCTTCTTCTACTCTTATCTCAGCGTGTGGCCTCTGCGTATGTACACTGCCCCTTAGAGGTAAATGCGCGCATAGCAAGAACAGCAACTATTTTATATTTATGGCTATTGTTTTAGTATTTTATTTTATGCTTTTACTCATTTATTTTCTGGTTGTTCTTTCAAGTTAGATGTAAAGTTAAGTTTTCAAGGTCTTCTATTTTTATGTGTGTGTATCAACTAACACGCATTTCCACATGACATGGCACGAAAGACACGCACCGAGGTCTTGTGTTAGCCCAGTAAGTCCAGAGACTTGTAAAATTAAAACAACAGAATAAGATCAAACACTGTCTATACGATCAATAGATAATGGAGATGCCTTTTCATGGCAAGGTATGAATGTGTGCAAGGCAGCAAAGGTGTCGCCGTGGCTGTAGCAGAATGAAAATGCATTTGGCTTGAACTGCACATATTTACAAGGTCATTTTGAACTCGACAAAAAGTTACTTGCTCAGCCCGAGTTGTATGTGTGTGCTTGCATCCCTCAGGTGGTGCTGCGCTTCCTGCTGGCTCCCAACAGGAAGCAGTTTTTGCGCCAGCCTCTCAATGTGATCGACGTGGCGTCCGTCTTTCCCGTCTACGTGACGCTCATATGTGATTGGGCGCTGGGCGCCCAATCAGAGCTGGGAGACTTGGGACGCGTGCTCCAGGTGCCGCTTTTCCTCCTCACTCTGGGAATACGCGTCTCCCACACGAATGACTCCCATTTGCCCTTCGAATATCAGGTGCGCCGCGGCTCGCACGTACAGTACCATGTCGACGACGCCACGTTGACCGGCGGCCGCTTCGGCGCTGTCCCTGACCGTCATTGCAGACTTTCGACCAGGACCGCAACTTGATTGAGGAGCCCGCCGTCGACGTAGTGGAAGCGCTGAGCACGTGCTGGTTCACCTTGGAGGTAGTTCTGTGTGCGTGTTTTAATGTCACTGTGTTTTGTAAAGCTGCGCAATTCATCGAAAATTAATTTAATTCTGTCTTCCTGTGAAAAACGAGTTCTCTTAAGTTAGCCAAGCGCAATTTTCTTCTTCTACTCTTATCTCAGCGTGTGGCCTCTGCGTATGTACACTGCCCCTTAGAGGTAAATGCGCGCATAGCAAGAACAGCAACTATTTTATATTTATGGCTATTGTTTTAGTATTTTATTTTATGCTTTTACTCATTTATTTTCTGGTTGTTCTTTCAAGTTAGATGTAAAGTTAAGTTTTCAAGGTCTTCTATTTTTATGTGTGTGTATCAACTAACACGCATTTCCACATGACATGGCACGAACGCCACGCACCGAGGTCTTGTGTTAGCCCAGTAAGTCCAGAGACTTGTAAAATTAAAACAACAGAATAAGATCAAACACTGTCTATACGATCAATAGATAATGGAGATGCCTTTTCATGGCAAGGTATGAATGTGTGCAAGGCAGCAAAGGTGTCGCCGTGGCTGTAGCAGAATGAAAATGCATTTGGCTTGAACTGCACATATTTACAAGGTCATTTTGAACTCGACAAAAAGTTACTTGCTCAGCCCGAGTTGTATGTGTGTGCTTGCATCCCTCAGGTGGTGCTGCGCTTCCTGCTGGCTCCCAACAGGAAGCAGTTTTTGCGCCAGCCTCTCAATGTGATCGACGTGGCGTCCGTCTTTCCCGTCTACGTGACGCTCATATGTGATTGGGCGCTGGGCGCCCAATCAGAGCTGGGAGACTTGGGACGCGTGCTCCAGGTGCCGCTTTTCCTCCTCACTCTGGGAATACGCGTCTCCCACACGAATGACTCCCATTTGCCCTTTTTTTTTTTTTGTCTTTCAGGTTTTGCGCCTGATGCGGATCTTCCGAGTTCTGAAGCTCGCTAGACACTCCACCGGCCTGCGCTCCCTGGGGGCCACGCTCAGGGTGACAACACGCGCACACTCCTCAAAGCCAATCGCATGCTTGTAAAGTGGTGAGCGTGGACAGCCGAGCAGAGAGCTTGTTCAGTACCCACCCGGTCTCAAAACAAATGGTCTTCTTGTGCTATGGAAACAATGTCCCTCGCACCAAATCAATCATATGTAAAACAAGCTTCATGTCGCTTAATCATCCGAAAAGTCACATGCACATCTCACTTTAACCTCAAAAAGTATCAAAACAACACACCACAAGAGAAAACAATGAGCCGAAGAGGATGAGTCACACTTGCTGCGCAGGGAGGGAAAAATCAAATGGTGCGACGTCAGCCCGTTGAAAAGCGGCGGCGGCGTACTTTGTTGTGTTGCAGCACAGTTACCGTGAAGTGGGCATCCTGTTGCTCTACTTGGCCGTGGGCGTGTCCGTTTTCTCCGGGATGGCCTACACCGCCGAGTGCCAGCAGGTCAGGGACTTCCTAGTTTGTGCACATGATTATCATGAAATCAATTTTCAAAACGCTAAGCATGCGTGATGAGTTCACTTTGAAAATCCATCCTTTTACATCAAAGATGACTTTTTATTTTTTTTTTTGCGTTCATTGCTAATTGGCTAATTCATTAGAAATAAAGTATTTGAAAAGACTGCACCTTTTTTCCATCAAGGGCACTATTTTATTACAAAATTGGTAATTTTACACTTGGAAAAAAGGTGGAAATTAAGCGAATTAGGGGAAAGTGGTGAATTTTTGGAATGTTGGAAAATAGTTTGGGAACAGCTTTACTCAGCGGAGAGCTGTCAAAGTAGAAAGTTATTATACGGGCTGTGTGGAGGAAACCGAATGGGCACAAATGTGGAAATGTTCACACACGGACGTATTGTGTTTGTGTGGTACCTAATGAAGCGTCCCGGCGTGTGTGTCTGTGTGCACTCAGGACACGGGCCTGGACACCATCCCGGCGTGCTGGTGGTGGGGCACGGTGAGCATGACCACGGTGGGCTACGGCGACGTGGTGCCTGTCACGGCGGCCGGCAGGCTGGCGGCCGGCGGCTGCATCCTGGGCGGAACCCTGGTGGTGGCGCTGCCCATCACCCTCATCTTCAACAAGTTCTCCCACTTCTACCGCCGCCAGAAGGCGCTCGAGGCGGCCGTACGCAATCGCCACCCGGGGGAAGACGGCCGAGGAGCCATGCTCAGCGACGGCCACGGCGAGTGGACGGCCACCTGCCCGCGGTGACTGAGCCACTTCCGACTGTACGTATATCTGGGCCGTCAGCGTTTCGGTTTGGCTTTTTGAGCATTAAAATCAAAGCACACGCATAAAAACGGACATTTTCTTGAAGATTTCAACATATTGAAAAAATATATATATTTTTTGAGAAAATCAACAACTCAACTGTATTTATACCTTTGTTTATACCTTTGTCTTTTCCCGATTCAGTGTTTGTGCGCCGTACCGACATGGCACTTTCCACGTGGAGCTGAACCAACAATGGTGTGAAGCCAATAAAAAGCACCTTCCAAGGCTTTTTGGGGGGGTCTTTATTCTCTTGCCAACTTAAATACAGCAAACATTCGAATTGAAGGCAACAAAACAACTTTTTTAAAAAAGGCTCGTAAGTGTCCGTCAGCGGGAAAGGTTGAGTGGCTTGGACGAGTCGGTCCTTTGACGTTCTTTGTACATTCGCAGTCATTCAAAATGATTAAAAAAAAAAAAAAAAGTGGAATGTTTCAGCTGTAATTCAAAAGGCCGCTCAACTGATTGGCCAGTGAGTGAGTTCATTCATTGGTTGGTTAGTGGATGGAATTAAATTGACGTATACAGTAACAACCAGAAAAGCGATTTTTCAGTCAACCAATCAATCCACTCACCGAGTAATCAACCAGCTCAATGACATAACCAACCGAAAAATGAATGGACCAATCAGCCAACCGACAACCAACCAAGTAGATTGATCAGTAAACCATCAAATCAATTGATGAAGCAGCAAATTCTCCGCCAGCGTCAAATCCATTGGCAAAGTCCAAGTCTCAGATTTCAAAGTCAGAGAGGCTTTACGATTCAAGCTGAGACTTCAGAAATGCCCAGCAAAAGCAAAGTGGACAATTTTTTTTTTTTTTGCTGGCACGAGATGAAAGTGTGCCGCACTCAAGTTTCCCTGAAAAGTTTTGAAAGCTGCCCTGAAAATCCAAACTTTTATGGTTTCCATTTTGCTTCCATCTTACAGTAAGACTACGACTCGTAAAAAATAACCCCAAACATTTCAGCATTTTCTCCTCCAGTGCTATCGACTAACAGTAGTTCCCTTTTTTGACCATGTGATCCTCTCCAAAAACAATAAAAAAATAAAATTAAAATAAAAACTACAGTATGCAAGACAGGAAGTGCTGGGGCACCGGTGACATCGGAACGATGGCGGCGCGCAGCTTGAAGGGTGCACCCAAAGTTGCAGGGTGGCTTTGCAGACATGTTCACCTTGAGGAGCTTCCTAAAATGCCAATGCCAGGAACCAAAGACAGGAAAAGAAAAGTAGTGCGATGAAGCCACATTGGCTTCCTAAAGGCAACATGGCCTCCTCCAGTGTACCGCCACTGTCATCTTCAAAGACGGCTGGCGAGCAGATGATTTCTCCAAAGTTGAAAGTCCCCAAAGTTCATCACATGCAAAGGGGGGGGGGATTATTTTGGCCACAAATAACACATTTGATGGCCCAAAATGACGTTTTGATTGGATCGCTACAAAACACCAAGTTGAGGTATGACGTGCCAAGAAAAACCTCATTCTTTGGCCACAAAATACAAAGTTGCGGCCACGCTAAGGCCACAAAATATTATTTCATGGATGCAGGATAACGTGCATGCAAAATAAGCATTGGTGGCCACGAAATACAAACGGGGGACTCCCAAATATAAAATAGTTCTGGATGACGCGATGGTGCAACTTTTACATTCGCGTGAAGGACAAAAGGAGCGCACCTTAGCTAGAAACTGTCCAAGTCTAACTGCATTTTGAGAGAAAGTGCGCTCCATTTGCTTGTGCAAACGCCCTGGCACGATCTTTTCGTTCTTCCTTTGTATTTCGTCCTTAGATGAATTTAGTGCCACAAATCATCATTTGGTGTGCACGTTAGTTCATGTTCACTGACCTCCCAGCCCCCAAAGCGTGCGGCTGCGTCACCTCTGGCGGCGGCGGAGTCACAAGTTGTTGTGCTGCTGTCGCCTCTTCTTGGCCTCGATGGCGTCCAGGATGGGTTTCCTCTTGGCTTGATAGCGCTGTCGGATCTCCTCCATTTCTTGCTCCATCTGCGGGTCCAAGGCGGCCAGACGCACACGCAGGTCCTCCACCGACCACGAACTCACCTGAGAACGCCGCCGCCACAACAACACACACGTCAGTTAACGAAGTTACCCAATGACAGACTAACTGTTCATGAAAATGGTAGTTATCTGCAGCCCAAGAATCAAATTTTGGATTTTTTTTTCTCTCAAGCAAAGTGAAGTCTTGCCTTTTGGCATGTGATCGCTGACCTTTTCAATATCGGATAGGCGCTGCGTTGGCGTTGCACTCACCAGCTCCAGATCTGCATCCGAGAGCACTTTGCACTCCTCTCCGCTGCCGCCGCGTCTTCCATTTGGACTGCTGGCCTCCTTCTCCTTCTGCTCAAAGTATTCCAAGAAGGACGGTTTGGCGGGCGGGGACGCCTCGTCTGTCCCTGACCATCACACAAAACCGCACACTCATCAAAAAATGTGACAGTACACTACTAAGTACCACTTTTTTTTTTTTTTTACTTTGGCCAAGTAATATGCACTTCTTTTCCCCTGGAGAAATACTGACTTTAAGAACTGACTTAAATTTTTTTTTTAAATTTTAACTTGAAACAAGTAAGCATCCCTTTTCCCCTGGCATGTGCCTCATCGTGTTTGTTGTTTTGCAATCCTTTGCTGTGAAAGTCACGCTCATGTAAACACAGTTGAGTGCACTTGCAGTTCATAAAATACACATTAATTATATATGACATCATCTTATATATCCGCCAATAATCTGCGATATTAATGTGTGAGCACATTTCTGCCGGATGCTGTCATGAATAATAAAAGTGTGTCATCAACTGAACGTTTCGGGTGTCGACTTTATAACCGACCAAGTGAGTCCAGAAATACTCGTCCCGTATCGACGCTCACAGAGCAGAGCTCGGGTTACCGAGCAATCGCATCCCCGCTGCTTCCTGTCATTCCTGTCGAGGTGGGCTTTCAGAAAAGGTCCAAATGGAACAAGTCTGTTTCAAAGTGCTGTTTTGGAACCATCAATTTTAGTTTTTAGAAAAGATGACCATTTTCACATTCACGTAAAACGGTTGCAGTGTTCCAGAGCAAAGTTGGGATTCGCATGGCAGCCCATCTAGGCAGCACATGTGCCAACCAACTGCACGGGGACAGTAAGCAAGGTACTGCAAACAATTCCACACAAAAAAAGTCACGTCTTCCCTGTTCAAGCATTCCTCGGCCATATTGAGTGAAAGTGATCCGTTTGTTGTGCAGGTCTCAGAAAGATACAAGCTCTTCTCCCACAAGGTGTTTGGTTACGTCTATTTGGAGTCTTTTGATTTTTGTCTCTAGTGAAAGTGCGGAGCAGCATCTTTTTTTATTCCTGATAGTTGTTCCGTCAAGTTTACGGTTCTTAAAAGGGTTGTTCCTTCAATGTCGCCTGTGACTGTTACTGTAACCATTTAAATTTCAAATGATAGGCCATAAATAATCACACATAAGTAGTATTTTCTTAAAGGCTGAAATAACACACCAATCATTAAAACTCAGGGTATGATATCTTGAATGTAGTTGTGGCAGGCACAACGTCGGACGGACAGACAGTCCCTGTGCACCGCATGAGAAAATGGGCCCATTTCTCCATGGCCAAAAATAGAGAAATAAATCAATAAAATAGAAAACCTTGTAAATACATGTTTCTAATTGTTGCTCCTTGGGTGTATGGTCCAAAACATGCACCAGTGAAAATAGCCACGTCTCATTTTAAACAATAATTAAAGTCAACTTTCGTCATGGAAGCTCCAGGCAGCGTTTGTACAGTACACAAGGATGCTGCTGTCCGTCATGCGGCTTCCAAAGATGTTGCCGTCCATGATGCCATTGCACCCCCTGCTGGCCGCTAGTGGGCGCACATGCACAACCAGGACTTAATTCTTGAATGTGGCTCAGATTTTTTCGGAGTTGGTCATGTGTCCTTGATTGGTCTTTACCTGAGCCCTGAGCAACTGTGAAAGCAAGTGGCACAATGGCCACCCGCTGACATGAATCAAAACAGATGCAGTTTGCTGCTTCATGGGGCACATGCAACATATTTTCAAGAACGTTTTTTTTAAGCGAAGACGACATTGACATACTTTTCATGGTGCCCGCCTCGTCCTCGTCCTCAGAGTTGATGATCATGGTTCCCAGCTGCAAGCGCATGGTTCCCGCGTCTTCCTCCTCGCCGTTGTCGGGGTCTCGCTGGCCCGCGGCGTTCAACGCATTGCCCAACGAACCGGCGGCACGCATGGTTGCCGAGTCACCTGGCCCCGCCCTCACCATGGTGCCCTGGTCCACCTCGTCCTCCTCCTGGAAAGCAGAAAAATAATCAATAAAAGAGTGGACAGTTAACTTGCGCAATTTCATTTGTGGCCCCCCGATTTCTAAACTTGGTGTGTGTGGCTTTAAAAAAAAAAAAACAATTCCTTCTCAGCTAATTCTTTGGTGGCACAATGCTGATTAAGCCTATCAGCTCCTCGAATATGTCGCTGTAGAAAAGTCGCTGTATTTTTCATCTTGTATACTGCATGTTGACCAGCGACATTCCCTCACTGGCCCTCTGGATGGCGCTCCCAAAAAGATGTTGAGGAAATGGCATTGGATTGGATGACAGAAATGACAACATTTGCCTTGCACCTTGTCTCGCATTTGTAAAATCCTAACTAAATTTATGTTGTGCTTATGTGGGAGAAAATAATCAAACAATATTTTTGGGGGGTTTACTATACTGCAAATTGGACGGGCAAGTCCTAATTTACGGGCTGTAGTGAAGCCTGTGCTATTCCGGCAGGAAACAGGATCACGGCCCCGTAATGATGACCTCTAACCCCAGAGAAGCTGAAGCCAATGCATTTAACACTAATTAATGGTGCATTCACACCGGGCGCGAACTGAACTATTTGTGCGACGTGCTTATGAAATTGGTGCCGGTGAGAATACACCGCTTCATCACACGCGACGTCCCAGAGTTGCTGAGCAAAACAACAGAGCAAACACTGCTGTTAGTAGAGGAAAGAAATCCAAATGTTTGGAGGCCTACAGAATTGTCGTATTCGTTGTCGTCATCCTGCTCGGCGAGCGCCGCCGCCGCCTCCTGGCGTTTGGCTTTAATGTCCATGGCGTCGCTGATGAGCGCTCTGAGGATGCTGCTGGGCTTGGCCGCCTTGATGAAAGCGTGCTGAAGAAGAAATCAGCAAATACAAATCAAAGTTGAAAAGACACAGACGTTTTCCCAAAGAAGATGAATAATTCTGAGGAACAGTGATTAAAATATGGGCCCAGCCGCTACTTAGCGTGCATCTTGCCTGCAGCAGTTGCGTGGCCGTGGCCCTGTGCTCCGGGTTCTTCACCAAACACTGGCTCACAAAGTCCCGGAATTGCACCGACCACAAATCCGGGTTGCGGAACGTCGGTGGAGGGTTGGTGGGGATCATGAAGATGGCCTGCACACATTTATGGAAGTCACAAACTTAACTCTCACATGACTTGAGATGTCGTTTTTTTCAAACTGTTTCTGTATGCGATATTTTATGTTCCCATTTTTGTGTGTGTGGAGCGGATTGGTATAAGTATCTGTGAGTGGTAATCTGTAGCCTTCACAAGTACCAGATTCCTTGAAAAAAGGGGGTTTTCAGCCTGGAACAGATACCTGGTTACCTTCTTTTCCAAGGTAAAAGCAGACGTTTGCAAATGTATTATTTGGATGAGACACAAATTTAATTAGTCTGCTTTCATGAAGGACTACAGAATCCGGAAAATGTTTGCTGTTGAGAGGCTGAAATCAGGGGCTTTCGGCACTTTGAAGTCAAACAAGATGTGTCAACGATGAGTTGGTGAATTAGATGAAATAGTTGTTCATCAATTTGAGAACGGATTCGTAATTCTGAGGACGGATTTGTTTGACAGGTGCTGGTTGTGAGGTACCTCACCCTCATGGGGTGGATGTCGGCGTAGGGCGGCTTGCCCTCAGCCATCTCGATGGCGGTGATGCCCAGCGACCAGATGTCGGCCACGCAGTTGTAGCCGATCTCCTGGATCACCTCTGGCGCCATCCAGAAGGGTGTCCCGATCACCGTGTTCCTCTTGGCCATGGTGTCCTGCCGGGAGCAAGAGAAAGTGAGGCCGAAGTACCACGGCAGGGGGAAGGAAAGGCGGCGGACCGACCGTCAGCTGACCGGCGACGCCGAAGTCGGCCAGCTTGGCCTGGCCCTCCGTGTTGAGGAGGATGTTTCCCGCCTTTATGTCGCGGTGGATTTTCCTCATGAAGTGAAGGTACTCCAGACCCTTCAGCGTCGACTGAAGGATGCTGGCGATCTCCTCCTCACTCAGCTGAACAAAACAAACATTGGTACACTCAAGTTCAAATCAAGCACGAGAGCTGTTGTGATAGTCAACACAAGAGGTATGTGGGGGGGATTGGATGCATCATGATGTCTGCTTTTGGTTTAATTTCAGAGTAAACTAACTAGGAGTTAGCACTAATTCAACTTCATTTATTGAGCACCTTCAAACAACCATTGTTGCATACAAAGTATTAAAATACCCGAAGCCTTGTCACAATAATAACAATAATAAAAACTGATTTCAACTTGAATCGTGATACAAAGAACAATTAACCACATACTGCTTCACCAAAGCATTTATACCTCATCAGAGGGAGAAGCTAGCTATGGTCAATTCCCTTTACAACGCTATCAGTATTTCCTGTGTGTGTGTGTGTGTGTGTGTGTCCGCGCGCGCACGCACAAGGTTGAATCTTACCGTCTTGCTGCGTATGCGTATGATGTCGGACACAGATCCCGCCCCGCAGTATTCCATGACAATCCATAGGTCACTGTTCTTGAAGTAGCTGCCGTAGTAGCGCACCACATGTGGACTGAGCAGAAATGAACAGAAATGGTTGCTATGATGCTTATGCTATGTAGTTATGAACATACAGCATGTAATTGGGAACCTGAATAGTTATGAACATGTGTATATAGTTATGAAGACAAATGGCCGGCATGCATGAAGTGCATGAAGTCAGTTGTAGACGTTGTTATGACTAGCAAATGATTACTATGAACATAAGTGGTACTTAGGCGTGTAGCTACTGTCTGAACAAGGATTGTTTTCTGTGAGATGTAGTCGTGAGTACATGCGATTGCAATTGTTGGGCCACCTGTTGCACTGCTGCATGATGGAGATCTCCTTGATGATCTCCTGTAGGTCCGACTCGACGGGAACCTGTTTGATGGCCACGATCTCTCCCGTCTCTCTGTAGTGAGCCTTGAACACGCAGCCGTACGACCTGCACGCACACAACAAACAGGAAGTTGCTAAACAGGAAGTGAAGAGAGAGCGACAGCCGCGACAGCAGCAGGCCTCACCCTTCACCCAACTTCTCCAGGACGTCGAACACTTCCTCGGGCTGCTTCGTCAGGCTGTCCTCGCTCAGCTTCTTCAGCTGCCTGCCACGCATGTGCAACAAAGTTCAAAATTTGAAAGACTTTCGAGCTGTCTCAAGAACATGTCTGTGGCATGATTTGATCGAAATGCAATATCAAATCGATTTTCTCCATTGAAGTGAATTAAAGTAAAAAACAAAAAAACAAAATTGATACGTGTCTTTAATAAACTACTGAACACACCAAAGTGAATATTTTTGAATATTGGTAGCGATGTTTGATACCACTTTTTGAAAAACGATTCCAGTATGAATTTGACAGACCAATAACTGAAATCTTGTACTAAGTCGACTTAGTAGAATAAGTAGACCTACCAATAACTCAAACCTAGAGCGAGTGAGCGTAGTTGACTGAACAATAACTGCTGAACTGTTTGGTCAGTGTCGGAGAACAAAAAAATAACTTGTCAGAACAAGTCCGATGGAATTACCCTAAAAACAATTGGTGTGCACTTGAACGACCCATCACTCAAACTGGTGAGTCAATGAATATAGTATAGTGAACACTGACAAACTGCTCATGCGGGTCAGCGACTGTATTAGAGAAAACAAAAAACAACAACAAAAAAAAAAACGCCAAACCTCTCATTGAGTGTCGTGGACTGAACAATAGCTTAAAGCTCATTAGTGTGCTGTAATTAAGACTGACTAATGCTTCAAATGTGTGAAAACTGCACAGTAGACCAATAGCGCTTAACATGACTTTAAGTATCGGGACTGGCCAATGATTGAAGCGTGTTGTCGTGATGTAGAGTGAACAACGACCCCAACGGATCAGTTTCTGAATAAGAGCGATCGATGACCACTGAACTTGGTCGTGCGCTGTCGTAGAACGAACACGCAGTTGCGGAGAGCGCCACTGTGAGGCCATCAAGTCGTTTCAAACTTCCAAATAAATGGAAATCATTCGAGATACCATCCACCGGATGAAATACAACGACATATTTCGCTTTAAATTGAAAGGACTACTCAAAGTGATTTTAAGTGCCGGGGAGCGAGGCAGGAGGTCGCCTGAAGTGGACGACAAACCAACCAAGTCAGCGGCAGGAGGTCGCCAGTTACCTGCGAGGGTGGTTCCGCATCTGCACCTTGTCCCTGTTCTCCATGCTCCACTCCGTTCCAGCGGCTAACGGCCGACTCCACGCCCGCCGTTCGAACACCCGAACCCGACCAAGTATCCGCCAGCTCCCGCGCGCGGGGCGGATAACGGATCGCGCTGACGGTTGTCTAGCTAGGAGCAGCTAGCGCGCTAGGTGGCTAAAAGCTAGCCCGTCGACTTCGCTTCCAACCGCTCGTGGAAATCCAAAAAAAAAAAGACGCTGCCGTCTTGCACGTCACATTTCTAGGTAAGGTGCCGCCGGCGTCCCTCTCGCATCAGGGCTCCCCGTCAAGGCGGCCATCCCTACTAACGTGTCTGGACAACTTTGGACTTGTTGAGCGGTGCGCCGGAGACACTTCAGCGGCGGTGCGGGAACCAGGAAGCGAGATGACGAACGAAGCAGCACGAAGGCCGACGAGGAAGATCGAAGAATAACGGAGATGAAACGAAGAATACCGGAGAAGAACGAAGAAGAAAACCAGCAGCTACTGACGCGACCGACAGAAGGCGCTACTTCTTCGGGAAAAGCTCACAGCGATGACAAAAAGATGAAGGCTGCAGTTTAAAAGGACGTTAAATATGATCCTTAGTACGGTAGCGTATGAACAAACGGTTCAATATCACGTTATCGCGTCATACATTTTATGTGTAAACGTGATAAGTTAAATGTTTGTATCGATCCAAACAAAAGGAAGCAACTCCTGCCGATGCAGATCAATGTTGGAGGCCTATTATGTAGGTCGGTGTCTCTTCTTTTGAATTCTTTTTCATTTTAGCACAAAATTATCACGTTCTAACATTATATTGAACTATTTTTTTCTGGTGTGGCCTTCAGTACACCGATATATTTTAATTGATTCGTCTTTTTTTTCTAAACTGCAAAATGTAAATTGTTGCATTCTAAACATTGTGTGACTGAATTATGCCTGAAGCACGTTGTGAGTCCTCTTTTTTATTAAGTGTGATTAAGAATAAAATGGACTGAATTCCACAGTAATACAACAAAGGTGAAAGGCAAAAGAAAGAAATGACTCAGTTGAATCAATATACATTTATTTGACATAAATGAAGAGAGAAACCTCTTCACAGCAGGAATGGGTGGCAGGAAATGACTACAAGGAAGAAAAGCCATACGTTAGTTTAGTGGTGGTGCCTTTGTGGCTCATGGCGCGAGTGGTGTGAGGGCTGACCGGCATTTACTCTCCAGAGGGCCGCACACTCTCGAAGATTCCGGCCTCCCGCATGGCATTGAACTCCTTGACGGCGTCGTATTGCTTGTAGAAGTCAGCGTAGGCTTGCTTGCGAGGCTCTGTTACTGTGTACTACACACATACACAGCAGTCTTAGGCTTTTTTGAGTTGCTTGAACGCAAGATTGGAAGTTATGCCAAGGCCTAATATGCCACCATATAAGGATGTCATCTGCGAAAATTTGTTATGTTGACAGCCCTACCAATAAGATGAAATTGCAGCTGAAACGAACAATTATTTTAAGTAATCGATGAATCAGATTTTAAAACATGTTTTAATTTCCATCCCCTTATTCAAAAACCAGTCAGTATTTCAAATTCAAAGTGCAGAAAATGGACTGGGTTTGTCTATAACATGTTGGAAAATACGCAAAAATATTGTTAATTGTTTCCCAACGTAAAAGCAAATGTTTTAGTTTGATTCAACACAAATCTACATTCATATCTACATTTGGAATATTTTCAATGAAAACAAAGTATTTAAAATCGAAAAATAATTATCAATTAAGTGGATCATTGATTAGTTGTTGATTAATCGTCACATATCTACTTGAAAATGTGAATATCAGACCAACCCATAACTGACACCTGTTAGTTCAACCAAGAACTTGGATCATTTAAAATATAATCCAACAAATATGTCGGCCCCCTTGAGGGCGGCGCCTGCCACGATTGACAAAGCGAAGGCGATGGGCAGATGAAAGCGCAGGCGCCTTCCCAGCAGACCTCGCATCACTGGCTTGGGCAGCGACATCTTAATCACCTGGATGAGGGGAAAAAAAAAGCATTCGTGAGACGCAACAAGAAGAATTCAGATTCAGAAAACTTTATGCAAAGCTGTTACACGTTTGACAAACGAATAACTTCAACCTGTTAGTGAGTGTATTGGAATGACGAATAACTTGCATCTCTTAATGGACTGACCAATAACTGCTCGTATGATTCTATGAAGCTGTGAGTGAGTTAATTAAAGCGACCAATAACTTGGAGCTGTTGAGTGCTTATGACCAAACACTAACTTGAAACCTGTTGGTAGGTTTGCCTGAGCAACCACTGAGTCACATTTGTGATTAACGTATTCGACTGATCAATACCTTCAAACTGATGCTGAGCAGATCCCTTCCAACCGCCCGTGGAAATCCAAAAAAAAAAAGACGCTGCCGTCTTGCACGTCACATTTCTAGGTAAGGTGCCGCCGGCGTCCCTCTCGCATCAGGGCTCCCCGTCAAGGCGGCCATCCCTACTAACGTGTCTGGACAACTTTGGACTTGTTGAGCGGTGCGCCGGAGACACTTCAGCGGCGGTGCGGGAACCAGGAAGCGAGATGACGAACGAAGCAGCACGAAGGCCGACGAGGAAGATCGAAGAATAACGGAGATGAAACGAAGAATACCGGAGAAGAACGAAGAAGAAAACCAGCAGCTACTGACGCGACCGACAGAAGGCGCTACTTCTTCGGGAAAAGCTCACAGCGATGACAAAAAGATGAAGGCTGCAGTTTAAAAGGACGTTAAATATGATCCTTAGTACGGTAGCGTATGAACAAACGGTTCAATATCACGTTATCGCGTCATACATTTTATGTGTAAACGTGGTAAGTTAAATGTTTGTATCGATCCAAACAAAAGGAAGCAACTCCTGCCGATGCAGATCAATGTTGGAGGCCTATTATGTAGGTCGGTGTCTCTTCTTTTGAATTCTTTTTCATTTTAGCACAAAATTATCACGTTCTAACATTATATTGAACTATTTTTTCTGGTGTAGCCTTCAGTACACCGATATATTTTAATTGATTCGTCTTTTTTGCTAAACTGCAAAATGTAAATTGTTGCATTCTAAACATTGTGTGACTGAATTATGCCTGAAGCACGTTGTGAGTCCTCTTTTTTATTAAGTGTGATTAAGAATAAAATGGACTGAATTCCACAGTAATACAACAAAGGTGAAAGGCAAAAGAAAGAAATGACTCAGTTGAATCAATATACATTTATTTGACATAAATGAAGAGAGAAACCTCTTCACAGCAGGAATGGGTGGCAGGAAATGACTACAAGGAAGAAAAGCCATACGTTAGTTTAGTGGTGGTGCCTTTGTGGCTCATGGCGCGAGTGGTGTGAGGGCTGACCGGCATTTACTCTCCAGAGGGCCGCACACTCTCGAAGATTCCGGCCTCCCGCATGGCATTGAACTCCTTGACGGCGTCGTATTGCTTGTAGAAGTCAGCGTAGGCTTGCTTGCGAGGCTCTGTTACTGTGTACTACACACAAACACACACACACAGCAGTCTTAGGGTTTTTTGAGTTGCTTGAACGCAAGATTGGAAGTTATGCCAAGGCCTAATATGCCGCCATATAAGGATGTCATCTGCGAAAATTTGTTATGTTGACAGCCCTACCAATAAGATGAAATTGCAGCTGAAACGAACAATTATTTTAAGTAATCGATGAATCAGATTTTAAAACATGTTTTAATTTCCATCCCCTTATTCAAAAACCAGTCAGTATTTCAAATTCAAAGTGCAGAAAATGGACTGGGTTTGTCTATAACATGTTGGAAAATATGCAAAAATATTGTTAATTGTTTCCCAACGTAAAAGCAAATGTTTTAGTTTGATTCAACACAAATCTACATTCATATCTACATTTGGAATATTTTCAATGAAAACAAAGTATTTAAAATCGAAAAATAATTATCAATTAAGTGGATCATTGATTAGTTGTTGATTAATCGTCACATATCTACTTGAAAATGTGAATATCAGACCAACCCATAACTGACACCTGTTAGTTCAACCAAGAACTTGGATCATTTAAAATATAATCGACGAACCAATGACTTGTTTGTGAGTCGAAAAGACCAGCTTTCAGGTGCAGCTGTTTGCGAGCAATTGAGAAAACAAATAACGTATTAAAGCAACAAATATGTCTGTCACCTTGAAGGCGGCGGCTGCCACGATTGACAAAGCGAAGGCGATGGGCAGATGAAAGCGCAGGCGCCTTCCCAGCAGACCTCGCATCACTGGCTTGGGCAGCGACATCTTAATCACCTGGATGAGGGGAAAAAAAAAGCATTCGTGAGACGCAACAAGAAGAATTCAGATTCAGAAAACTTTATGCAAAGCTGTTACACGTTTGACAAACGAATAACTTCAACCTGTTAGTGAGTGTATTGGAATGACGAATAACTTGCATCTCTTAATGGACTGACCAATAACTGCTCGTATGATTCTATGAAGCTGTGAGTGAGTTAATTAAAGCGACCAATAACTTGGAGCTGTTGAGTGCTTATGACCAAACAAAAAAAAAAAGCATTCGTGAGACGCAACAAGAAGAACGCAAAGCTGTTACACATTTGACAAACTAATAACTTCAACCTGTTAGTGAGTGTATTGGAATGACGAATAACTTGAATCTTTTAATGGACTGACCAATAACTGCTAGTATGATTCGATGAAGCTGTGAGTGAGTTTATTAAAGCGACCAATAACTTGGAGCTGTTATTGAGTGCTTATGACCAAACGCTAACTTGAAACCTGTTGGTAGGTTTGCCTGAGCAACCACTGAGTCACATTTGTGATTAACGTATTCGACTGATCAATACCTTCAAACTGATGCTGAGCAGACGAGACAGACCAATGATCCATTATGAATTTTTAAAAAAACTTTTGAACAAACAGTACAAAATTTTTCAACTTTCACAGGCAAAAACGATCAGCACGTCATGTATTCAGAGAAATATTCAGAAATCAATGGTTGAATACTAACGCAATCAGCATTAGTTCTGAAGATTTTTTGGGGAGGTTGCACTCCTGGGGTTATGTCGTTCATATTTGTCAATTATGGGAGTCCTCTCTGTAATTAGGGTCTAAACACATACATGTGACTAAACGACAAATGATGGGCAATAAGGAGACAACTCTAAGCAACGTTATTTTTCCTTCAACATTGATTTCTGTTGAACGGTCTTGAACTCAACATATATGGCATCACGACAAGTGACCAATCACACGTCGCGATCAAGGGTGGGCACCACGGACTCTTCCGCTAACAAATACGAGCACTTTATGCGCATTATGGTCGACATCCATCTATTTTCTTATCGACTTATCCCCACAAGGGTCACAGACGTGATGGAGCATATTATTTTTCCTTCAACGTTGATTTCTGTTGAACGGTCTTGAACTCAACATCAATGACATCACAACAAGTGACCAATCACACGTCGCGATCAAGTGGGGGCACCACGGACTCTTCCGCTCACAAATACGAGCACTTTATGCGCCTTATGGGCGACATCCATCTATTTTCTTATCGACTTATCCCCACAAGGGTCACGGACGTGCTGGAGCATATCCCAGCTGTCTTCGGGCAGTAGGCGGGGTACACCTTAAACTGGTTGTCAGCCAATCTTATGGGCAACATTACGACAATTATCGTGGGACAGACTGAATTTCGAGACTCAGCCTCGACTTCAAAGCTTTAGTCAATCATTTGTTAACTTGGCTTATTTTTTTATAAGGATAAAGGAGGACAGCCACAGCAACATGGTATCGCCGGCTAGCGAGCGACCACGAAGGACAGCTGAGCTAACAAGCAGGCAGGCTCGCGAGATGGTGAAAAGCGGTGCAAATCCTGCAAATTGTTCAGCCCGAGTGACTTTGGGAACGTGCCAAATGTTTTCGAGAAGCCACTCGAAGGGGTTCGAGCGGTCACAATCGCGCCCAGTCAGACTCACCTTGTTGGACCTTGACAGGAAAAGCAACGAAAAGACGAGCACGTCGCTGGCAGCAGGCGGATAAGCTTCTTCTTCTTTTTCTCTTTCTGCCGCTGCTGCTTCCACCACCCCTTCTTCTTTCTTTGCCTTCGTTTTCTGAGCGAATGCTTACAATGTGCGGCACTGCCCCCTAGAGGAACGGCGTTTTCCTGCAGTTGCCACATTCAGTGGTTCTCACAAACCTCACTGGCACTGATGGACTTAGAGCAGGGGTGTCCGAAAGGGTCGATGCCCTGCCTGTTTTTCATCACTCCCTGCTGCAACACACCTGATTCGATTGATCAGGATTGTTATCTTGCTTCTTTCGAGTTCTCTGATGAGCTGATCCTTTGAATCGGGTGTGTTTCAGCAGGGAGAGATGGAAAACAGGCAGGACATCGGCCCCTCACTACCGCCTTTGGACGCCCCGAACCGAGAGGGTGGGTGCTCTACTTCCACACCTGACATTTAGTCTTGCGTCCAGCACCTGAAGTGACCAATGCTGACTTTTGGCAGATTAATGATATAATATATAACAATAGAAGATGGTTTCTTTATTTTGTGTTTGATTGTGAAGTGGTCAGTACATTAAGGTATGCTCAACCGAAAGACTTCAAATAAAAGCTGACTTTTTTTTTCTCTCAAGAACATGCAAGTCAAGTTGAAAAAAGTTGTTTTGAGTGTTTGAGATCAATGTCTCCGCCTTGGTCCAATGACTCGTTTTGGGTTTGTTGAGCAGGCCTGCTATCAGAGAAGGCTCTGGCTGGAGGCAGTACGAATGACGTCATGGTGAGGATGTCTCTCTGTCGGAGTGTTTGATGTTGTTTCAATTTCTGAGTCAGAAGTCACTGAGGGATGCTCTTGCAACTGAGGCAGTGTTTGAGGTACTTCCTGAAGCACTTGTCCCTCACGCCGTATATAATGGGGCTGATGGAGCGGGGCAGCATCTGCACCACGATGTAGCAGGCAAACAGCAAGTCCGAGTAGTTCTTGGGGAACCAGCGGTGCAGAGCCATCTTGACCAGAGCCACGCCGTACATGGTCATACACAGCAGAACCTGAACGCCGTGCAGGGCGATGGTTTTACGAGCCTTCTTGGTGTCCTTGTTGGCCGTTTGGGCCGTGAACAGGATCTTGAAGTACAGGAAGAAGATGACCAACCACACGAGGACCAAGTATACAATGTAGGTGATGTCCCGCTTCTGGATCAGCATCGGATTGGGAAAGGCGGTCTCTCGGAGGCAGAAGATTCTGGAGGAGAAGAACTCGATAGGCTCGGTGTCCAGCGTGACGAAGAGATCCGGCAGGGTGGAGATGAGGCTGGCGGTCCAGATCAAGGCGATGAGGAGCAGAGTCCTCCTGACGGTGCAGATGCGGGCGTGGTGAAGCGGAAGACACACGGACACGTAGCACTCGGCCGCCATGCACGCCAGGTTGAGGGGCGTGTTCTCGGTGGTGGTGATGGCTATCAGGATGAGGGGGGCGCACACGGACACGCTGATCTTGTGGAGGGTGTAGCTGATCACGAAGAGGATGACGCTCACGCTCATCTGGATCATGTCGTTCACAACCAAGTGGAAGAACAGGATGTAGCGAGGGTTGGTGTAGAAGATCTGAACACAAATTTGGAACAAATGCATTGAAGTCCAAAGTCCTGCCTTGGAAAGTCTCTTAATATTCAAACTTATTTAAGCATCAATGAACCGAAAGGCAGAAACCCTTTGCCGAGTTCTGTTTCAAACCAAGTAAGGTGAAAAACTGCACACATTTGCGACCTACATTGATGTCGCACGTCCGACCGTTTGGCTGGTGTCATCCTGTGTTGTTACCATGGTGACTGAGTCACTGTGTCTCTTACCTGTCTCTCTGCATGAGCTCATTCAGACTTTAGCTCAGTGCTAACTTCCACCCAGATGTCACAAAAGCGAGCCCTCGGCTGGTGACAAGAAGCTGTCGTTGCTGCACTTGTTGTGCCATGTTGTTTCCTACCTGATGCTTACAAAAGGTGTACATGAGGCCGACGTTGATGTAGTTGATTGACAGTCCGATGGCGAGCACCAGCACATTCTTCAGCACCGCTTTGCTGATTGAGTCTCGGTACTCGACGATTTGGCTCCCGTTGGCCGGCCCCGCCGTGCTCATGTCACGGCCCAAGCTCTACGCAATCACAACAATCTCTCTTTGAAATCGTCACCTGAAATCCGGCATCCTCCACTGATGAAAAAAAAGGAAAGTCTACATCCTGTTTCTAGCCAAGTGGAATTGTTCATTTCATATGGGCAGAAAATAGTTCAGTTCAATATTTTAGATACACAGTGTGTGTGTGTGTGTGTGTGTGTGTAATCAACTCATTAAATGTATTCAAGAAATGCAGTATTTATTATGAATATGAGACAATTGATATAAAAAGGAGAATGAATAATTATATGTATATACATGTATATATGTATATATATATATATGTATATGTATATGTGTGTGTATACACACACACACACATAATAAATAAAAAGAATGTTATCACTGAAAAGATTGAAGAAGGTTTAAACATCTTCAGACTGTATTTTCAGATTGTCTGGATGGAATATTCCGAGCATGCATCTATGTCTTATTGTACTTCACATTGAAATAAAAAAACTTTCTTTGACTCATGGAGTGAAAAAAAAAAAAAATGAAGACAATACTTACCTGTTTCAGCGCAGCTCTGACGCCACACCTGCCCTCCTGCTGTCTTTTATACCCTAAAATGGATCCTTTTACTCACACACATACATGCGCACGCACAAACGCGTGCACACACACACACACACACACACACACACACACACACACACACACACACACACACACACACACACACACACACACACACACACAGACATGCGCATGCACGTACGCACGCATGCACACACGCAGACGCACACACTCTTAATGATTCAATTTTATTATATTGCACATAATTCAATGTCCCTAGATCAAAGTTCAAAAGCAAACAGATGTGAAAGATGACATGCAAATACTATGCAGTAAAAAGTTCAAGACAAGTGAACTGTACTTTGACAGATATTCTTTGGCGTACCAGCTTTGGGCGTGCACGAGGTCATGGTATGATCTCAGACTTGACCCCCAAAAGTCAGGATTTTCCGTCGAGGCCGGTGGAGACCAGCACTGATCCGCTCTTCTTCAACTAGATGGATGCGATAATAAGAAGCGCTTGGTCCGCCAACAACTAATAGCATCAATTCATGTGTTATGAACGCCCCAGCACCCCTGAAATGACTGCAACCTTCAAAACGTCAGCACAAATATGTTAATGTTGAGCGCTGCCTCAGTACCACCAGCAAGTTGAATTTTGCCTTTCTGAGATTATTTTTCTGGAAAAAGGTTTTAAATCACTACTCTTTATACTAACCATTACGACCACCGCGACTCAAAGTACAACAATTCGGCCTTCCAAAAGGCTTTGACATTGCCAGTTGTTGGCGAATGTTCTGGCTTTGGTTTTGGCATCAGCTTTGGGGCCTTTGGTTACAGGTGGTTGAGGGTTTAGGCCAGGGGTGGGCAATCCCAGTCCTGGAGGGCCGCTATCCTGCATGTTTTCCATCTGTCCCTGTTGCAACACACCTGATTCAATTGTTCAGGCCTCGACAGAGCTTCCTGATGATCTGATCATTTGAATCAGGTGTGTTGGAGAAGGGACAGATGGAAAACATGCAGGATAGCGGCCCTCCAGGACTAGGATTGCCCACCCCTGGTTTAGGCTTTTGGCTTCTGGGTTTGTTTTGGGCTACGGTTAAAGGCTCAGGGTTAGCGTTTGGCTGGTATGAAAGTCCATACATTTAACACAAAATATCAAGTTGGTTGATGTAGAAATGATGTCATTCACTGGCATCGGGCGCAAACCTCATGTCTCGAAAAACCGTCACTTTTCAAGAAACCAAATGTTGGTTGAACCTCGTAGACAAAGCCATTTTCTACTCTTGGAAAAATAACACTCGTACACTAGTGTGGAATTGTGAAAAAAAAAAAAAGAACTGGACCAAATTGTGATGTAGCAGGTTTTGACCTGATGACAGCAAAATTATACAAAAACTTGCATGAGCATCAAAGTGACATCAGTGTTTGTTGTTACCCAACCAAGTTCGTGAAATGTTGTTGTGCTTGTTCCACTAATGAGCTGCTTGACCTTCATTTGTACTCTGTGGATTTATCGTCATCCTGTCGAGGGTCCTCCAAGAATTCCCGCTCGGGTTCGACAATCCTCTGCGGGAAATCACCCTGAAAGGGCATCCTGCATTGGAGGACTGGCAAACTTATTATCATGATGAGGATGAGGAAGAGGAGGAACAAGACCTTCATCACATGGAACATCAACACAAAACTTTGCTTCGATTTCTTCACCAGATGGACTGTCAAGCAAATATGGCAAAAGAAACTCATTTGACCACTTTCAATCCATTCAGCCATCCATCCAACCCCCAAATTTTCTGAACAATAAGCAGCTCCATTAGTCTAAACATTGCATTTTGGTTGATAATCTGTGGAATATGAATCAAACAGAAAAATCAACCCGTTTTTGTCCATTTTGCCACTTGCTCTCAACTGAAAATGACCAATCATGGCTCAGCTTCAGAAAACCGCAGAGTTGTTTCTCGCATGTTCAGGAAGTGAGCAGCTCCAAAACGGCATCCATTTGTGTAAAGTGTAAACTTTCTTATTTAGAATAAGTCCTCAGTGCCACAATTACAAACTTTCATAATTGATATTTGGAGTAACTTATGTCAGAGTTAACGTTCTGTTAGTGTGAGGGGAGCGTTCTCAATGATTCCATCCAACAAGGTACGTTAATTTTTTTAATTCAGTCAGCACGTTTATGAGCATTTTTGTTGTTCATGATCAATAAAAGCACAAGATAAGCAGAGCAAAAACGTGACGAGAGCTTTTTGTTAATCAACACTCATGAGTACATAAAAGGGAGTCCATTAAGTTGTAGAAAAAAGAAAATGTGTGAGAGTGAATGTGAGATAAGTGAGAGTGGGTGTGCGCAATGAAAATCTGCCTGTTAAGAAAACAGAAGCTTCCCGAATTGTCGTGATGTCAAACGCGAGTCGCTGGTAAAGTGAGCACTGAGAAAGTCTGATCATTTTTCTGAATGAGCTTTCTGATCGATGGTTGTGTGCAGCTGCAGCATTCGCGCAGTTAGCTCATGGGCTGACCGTTTCCTCCGCATGGAGAAGTTAGTCTTTCGAAACAATAACATTTGGACACATTTCTCCATTTCACACATGGTAATCGTCGATTATACATTACATAAACCTGGATTAATGCCGTTAGCTGGACTCCTTAGCGTTAGCATTAGTACTGCTCTCTAGTACAGCACAGCAAGCCATGCTCACTTAGCATAATAGTCTAAATATTATCAATCGGATATTTAGTACAGCCTTGGGTTTTTAGCGTTTCAAGTGGTGGATTGTTTGACCAGCGTTAGAACCATTAATGTTGGCGTCGACCACTAACGGACCATAGCTAGCTCACACACTTTAATCACTTTTGATTTGTTTCACTGCACTTCTACTGTATTTAAAGACCATTGAAGTGTTTTCTGTCTTATTGTTCTTAAGGATAATTGTTCAAAAAGTTGATGTCTTTTCCATCGGCGGCGTGACTGTCCGAAATCCAACAACTAGGTTCTGTCCATCAACTTTTTGCAAATCAATCATTACACGTCACTGTTCGATCACTTGGAGACATACAAAGGGTATTTAACGCAGAAACAAGTTGGCATGTAGTGCGAACCAATCAGGTGTGAGCGTGTCCCTACCGTGAAACAGTCAGTGAGAAACATGTCCTCTCAGTGTCGCAGTGAACCAACTGGGTGTGTGTCCTTAATGCTGCAACAAGCATACCAGGATTGGTTGTATCCCTGCAGTGAACCAGTCAGGTGTGGGCGTGTCCTTTCAGTGTTTCAGTCCACAAGAGCAAGAGTGTGCCTGCAGTGCCAATCAGGTGTGAGTATGTCCCTATAGTAACCAAGCATGTCTCTGCAGTGAACCAATCAGGTGAGAGCGCATCTTCAGCGTTGCAGTGATCATAAAACAAGTAGATGAAACCAGTTGGTCGGTTCCATGTTTTTCCCATTATGCTTCAATCTCCATTCAGGCTGGTGTGGGTTTATTTTCACATTTCTCTGATTATTACTTATTCATGTATTTATTTTGGAGTTCTGCTGGTTCTACCTGGTTTCCACTGGACTCTACTTGGTTCCGGTCCAGGCACGGTCTGAATGCGGCGAGGGTGCGCAGAGCTCCGAGTCTGAGTCTGACTCGGCTTCTGCAATGTAGGGTCTCATGGTAGGGCAGCAGGAGGCCCCTGCTGGTCCCCCGAGGTTAGACGCCAGGTTGGCGGATGAGTAGAAACTGTTGCTGAGGAAGTCCAGGTTCTCTCTGGACTGTGAGATGGAGAACCCGCTGAAGGAGTGCTCCAGTTCGTCATGGTCCACAGAGGGGATGGACAAGGAGCGGTCGCTGTCGGGCTTGACCTCCTCCTCTTCCCCTGCACCCCCTCCTTCCGCAGCCCCTCTCTCCGCTTTCTCAGCCCCCCCTTTCTCTCCGGTACTATGGCGGTTGGCCCGATTCCCGGTGTGTCGTTCTCCGGCTGGCGGCGGTGGAAGTCGAACCAGCGACCCATCCCCCACCGGACTTGGGGTGTTCCCGTGGCTACGCTGGGGGAGAGGTGGGGCCTGTTGATGGAACTGGGAACTGATTGGCTGCCAGGAAGTGGAGGGGGGGCAGGTGGTGGCATTGTGGTTCCGGGGAGCAGTCGAACTACTGGACCTGACCATCTTGGTCCCAAAATGACTCTTATCCACATTGTCTCCAGGCAACACTCTGAAACGACAACAACAATGGCAAGTTCTAAGGGTATCAGACCCTTGTTCTTCTAGGTCTTGGACTGGACCAAATTATTTTAGACTATGTCTAAGACGGAAGGGGCCCTAAGACACATGCCTTACATTTCCAGGGTCACATTCTAGAGTACAATAATGCCTTATATGGATAGGTTATAAAATTGTAGATTACATGTGGAGGGGGTCATAACATTCTCGACTAAAATCATGTTCAAGATGGGCAGAGTTTTAAGGATCTTGACCACATTAAGGTGCTGTATGGCCTCGAACATGCCTTGGACCAAATTACAGGATTCTGCACTAGATTACTTTCCCAGATATAGGGGGTGATAGTATTCTTGACTAAATTTATGGTTTAGATGGACAGGTAGTAAGATTTTAGGCTTGATTATTGTTGTAGAAGGATTAGATCAAAATAATACAGTCTAAATTAATTTCTTTCATTTCAACAGGACTATAAGATTCTAGTTTGGATTCATGTCTTCGAAAGACAGATCCTGGTGACCAGGACCACATACTAACTGAGGGATCTTTTGTATAGACTGGCTTTTCTCCAGCTGGTCCACTGGACTGTGGTAAGGTGGCGCAGGGTCTGGTTCCTTGGATCCAAAGTAGGCGTCCGTCTCAGTCTGTGAGATTCCCATTCGCTGGATGTAGATATTAACAAGGAAGTCCAACTTTCTCTCCATAGACAGGACCTGAAGGACACAGACCGGAAGAGGAAAGTTCATCAACATGCATCACCAAACAAAGTACCGCCAGTTGTGCTGGTTGCCATTGGTGGTCACCTGCTTCTCCACTTTCCCCAAGCGTCCCATCATGCTGGGGTCCTCGGGGAGTTCCTCCCCAGCAGCTTTTGGTCGGTCCTTGTCTGCAATTGGTGTCCCCCTGCCCACAATCTGGTCCACCCTAAAACCAGGAAGACAAACAAAACCATTCTCTGGATTCTCAGAGCTAACTACAATCTGGAAAAAGTCAAGGGCAGACAGTATACCTGGACTGAAGGTTCTTGATGCGTGCAAGCATGTCCAGGTGTCCTGCTGAATACTGTTCAATCACATCCATGACATCATAGGGACGAAGACTCTCCTTAAACTTTCTCTTGGACACCATGAAGCGCATGATACTGGGAGACAGGAAAAAGGAAGTCACCACTTTCTCCTGACATCAAGTGTGGATTGGTCTTTTAGACTACAGCTGAGTCATAAGATAATAGACTAGAATTGTTTTATATCGACAGGGTCTTACGATTCTTAACTAAATTCATGTCCTAGATGGACAAAATAATAAAATTCTAGACTGGATTCATGTCTCAAATCAACTGAATCGTAAAAGTCTAGACTAGATTGTCTTCAATGGACAGGTCGGGTCTAGTCACAATGAGTTTGTGGAGTCACTTGAATTCTACGTATGTGTGTTGTTGGGTCTTCTGTGATGTTGGCTGATTGCCAAAGAAAGACTGTCAGTGACATCTAGAGGGCAAAGGAGCACAAACAACAATAATAAAAGCACCACCCAAAAAAAAAAAAAACCCTACAAAAACAGTGGAGTGAGACAGAACAGAACAGAACGGAAGAGAAGACAAGAAGAGAACAAGGAAGCTATCTGTGTCAGTCCGTCTCTTACCCAACAGCTGATGGTGACGTTGGTCCTGGGGTGAGCAAAATAAACCAAAATGTGAACCAAAATGTGAATCAAAAGGCAAAGAAACAGCGAGCAAAGCGATGAGTGAAGTTGACAAAATGGCCTTGGCGGCGACCGTTCCAGAAGGGGAATCTCCGTACCAGATGGCTCGGATGGTGACCTTGATGCCGGGTGTCAAATCTTGCGGGACAAACTCACAGTGGCAGCTCTTGTTGTCATCGGCCAAGTCTTCTCCTGGCAGGCTAGCGTCTGCAATGGCCAACGACATGGCGGAGTTACGGCGGTGGCATAAGATGGCACCCACATGCGAATGGTCGTATGTGTGCGCTAACCTGGCGAGCTCTTCTGTCTGAACTCTTCATCCTGCATCTCTATGAGCACTACACGAGAAGAACATACCACATGCTTGAGAATCAGCATCAGACACCATAGAAGAAACACCCGAAGAAAACCACGGTGAACGCCACAGTCCTCACATCCTAGATCATGTTAGCATGGCTTAGCACTTAGCACCATGGAGGAAGTACTGCAAGGTAGCCAAGCTGGCGCATCTTGTTGGTCAAAGTGAAACGTTTCGCTAAGACCTGGTACACACAGAAGGATTTTTCCAACTCTTAAAAGATTGTTTGTCTCTTATAGATCCCACAAAAGGATGAAAACTTGGCTTTTCACCGTGCCGCCGACCAGACATCATCAATTCATCCAAAAATCTTTTCAAACAACCTTCTATCCATCCATCCCTTTGTCCATCCACGGATCCATAAGGATGGAATTGATTCTATACCAGCCACAAGAACACAAGCTATGTGAACCACTATACTATGCCAAACAGTACGAAGCAGAAGATCATGAGAGTTGAGCCGTGAAAGCTCCCCTGATCCTTCCTGGCCTTTTTCCTCATCACTTCCTTGCCTGCCTCCTTTCCTACATGGTCTTCTAGCCTCTTTTGTGTTTTATGAATGAAAGGGATTCACTTACTTTGTGCACGCATCCCCTCGTGGGACATCATTGCAATCAAAATCCAAAAAGTGTGAGATCATTTCTGATGTTGAAATGGATCAATCACTGTGACAGGACTTTAAGTGAATGGTCTTCCAGCACGTATGATGTCCTTTAAAATGTGACTGGACACATGATTGGACACATGATCGGAGAGGGGACTGGACATGGACCTGACCAGCACCTCCGTCCTACCTTCAGAGTTCTGGCGAGATGCAGCTCCTCGGATCCTGAAGGCCTGCCTGGTTCTGTTGCGTTCACCAAAGCTCCAGCTCTTAGGAACCTTACTGGGACTGTCTTCTAGACACGGATCTATGCTGGGAGAGCGGCGCAGGGCCTGAACACCCCCGGGGACACCAGGAACTCCAGGAGCCACACCTGGACCAACCACCGGGACCACTAGCAATAGGAAGTACATGAAAGTCATTGGTATCTGACAGTGAGTAAATGTGGACTACGCGGACAAGACTCACCATGTTGAGGGGAACCTTTTCCTTTGGTTCCTGAACTGCGTGGAGATGAGAAGACTCTCTCCTTTAGACTCACCTTCTGACTGTTGGGACAGGACTAAGTCAAAAGGCCTGATTCATTACGGTCCCTTAGAGCGGGTGCTAAATTATGTGTTGACTCTTAACAGATCGTGGATGCTGTTGGTGGGCGTGTTACACGTGACCTACTGAGATTGTGGCGCAATTAATAAAGAGGCACCAAAGTTGTGTGTATTGACCTATTTGTTTGTGATTTAGGTATTATTGCTGGTTTTTGTAAAATGAAGTTTGCAGCGATGGGACCGGACGTGTTCGTAAGCCTGGATATTTCTCCCCAAAGTAAGTCCTTTTGAATGAATGCAGGACTCCCGACTGTGGCGGCCTCCAAGGGAAGTATCGCACATTTGCCAGATGCAATCCCAGGTGCGCCCGCTTCGCAGATCAGCTACCACATTGGTTTACATGCACAATCAAGTTTGTGCCCATTTTTGCTGGCACAAACCTTTAGTAAATAAGGCCCAACGTGTGCTTGGGTTTCAGTGAGTTTCACTCTCACACTTTTGAGAATCAAACCATGGATTCTCACCTGGGAGAAGGTTCTGGTTGCACGTCCTTCCTGCAAAGACAGAAGAAAGGTCAATAATAATTTTAATTCTAACATCATTAAAGTAAAAAGACACGAATCCCAAGAGAGAATTCTTGATGACTGACTCAATGAAAAAGGTGAGACCTGAATGACAGTCCTGACTTGTTTTTGAGATTCCTCAGCAAGTCCAACTGGTTGAGGGGCGGAATTAACCTGGAAAAACACCACAATAACACACCTCATGTTTATCTTTGCCTTGATGATGCACTATCAGCACAAATTAGAGCAGCGACCAATGTCAAGAGGCTTAAATCTCAACATCTTTGCCTTGAGTTATTTATTTATTTATTAAAAGTCTCGACAAATAAGACTTAACATTTGACCTAATGTTTGTCTGGATACAATGGACTGACCTGTACATGGGGACAGACACGGTCCTCTCATAGTAGTCCCACGTGGATGTCAGATCGGATCGACTCAGATTTGTGGCGTAAACCCTCCATGCAGCCTGCATACACACAGCAGGTGACTTTTAGTCGAGTTTACTCGACTCTATTCAACTCTGCTCCATTCTACTCTACTGTATTTTGTTTTTTTCTATTTTACCCTAGACCAGTGCGGATATTCTGTAGCGCTACCTGGATGAGTCCAGCTGCTGGGTTTCGTCTTTTCTCGAAATGTTTTTGTCTGTGCTGCTCTTGGACCTTGAGAGCAAAGCCAGAACCCAAGATGCCCTGACAACAAGAGAGGAAACAGACAGGAAAACAGATTAGTATCTACACACACACATACACAGTCACACACACGCACATCCACAGACTTACAGCTGGCAGAGCAAAGAAGGATACGCCGATCAGAGTGAACGTGGCCGCCAGCAGGCGACCGTTCCAGGTGATGGGGAACTTGTCGCCATAGCCAATGGTGGTCAGCGTGATCTGACAGACACGGGCGAGTAGCCAATCAGATGGCGTACGACACTCGATGGGTTTGTTGTGAAAGGATCAGAGGAAGTCTCACCAGTCCCCACCAGAGGGCGTCGGCGTACGTCTCAAATTGTTCGTTGTCTTCTTTCTCAGCCAAATAAACCAGGAAGCTGGCCAGGATCAGACACAGGAAGCCGATGTACCAGGCTGTGATCAGCTCCTAAACACACGCATGCACACATGCACGCGCGCCCACACACACACACACACACACACACACACATACACACACACAAAAAGTCCTTGAAGCTTGAATTCCATCTGCTGCCTCAGAGACAGCAAGAAATCAATGTCACATCAATTGTCCACAATCAATACACAAGATAACATGATATGACTTGCTGTGTCATGGACGCGCACGCACGCACGCACACACACACACACACACACACACACACACACACACACACACACACACACACACACACGTCACCTTGCTGTGGGCGTAGACGACCGATCCCAAGAGCTTCCAGGTGCCCCCGCGGCGGTCCATGCGGATCATGCGCAGAATCTGAAGGAAGCGCAGTGAGCGGATGGCCGAGGTGGCAAACACGTTTCCCTGCGTGCCCGCCGCCAGCACCGAGATAGACGCGATCAGCACCATGATGTCTGAAGACGGAACACATGTACACATTAATACAAACACACATACAGTATGCATATGCACACATATAAAAAAAAAAAAAAGACATGCTTAACATGCACATGTGAACACCAATGCGAATGCAAAAATATACACACATGCGTGTGCACGCCAAGGTTATTATAGCTAAAGAAAACTAACTACAATTCCAAAAAAAAAAAAAAAAAAAAAAAATGAAAATCATGAAATAAGTTGATAAAACTAACAACAATGTGAGCTTTTGGGGTTGATTTGAAATGTAGTGATTTTGTTTTTGTTCTACGTCCGTACAGAAGACGGAAAGGTCAAACAGTCATTGAAGAATTGTAGTTTACTTTAAAACACAATACAACAAATACAAAAACAAAAACTAATACTAACACTAATAAAAACTGTACTAAAATGAAGCATTTTAACGGAATAAAAATGAACAAACTTGTTGTAAAAATGCCTTCAAACAAACTGAAAAACAGAATTTACAAAACAAAACTATTCCAACCCTGAATGCGCACATGTACACACGCACGCACGAATATGCTTGTGCACAGTCCAGCTCACCGATGATGCAAAAGGGCTTCCTGGCAAATTTGAGTCTGCCTCGCCACCCTCGATATCGGCAACAGCAGCCTGCCGCCCAGATGCGCACTGTGTACTCCACGCCAAACACCACAATGGTCACCACCTCCTGCGCAAATATGCACGCGTGCAAAAGCACAACGCAAGTCAACAGCCATCGCTGACCCTATGTGCCCTGACACTGCCTGGCGCTCATTCAGCCATTTGTCTCGTATATGTGCCCTGACACTGGTTAGAGACCAATCTGTTGTTGGTCCATATGTCAGTCTGGGGGATGCTGTATCCCCAGAGGGGCATCTCGGAGGAATGCAACAAGGCTCAATCCCTGGGCCAATTTTTTTTAATTCTATACTTGCTCACCATAGGATCTATTTTTAGGAAACATGGCATCTCCTTCCGACATTATGCAGATGACATCAAGATGACCTCAAGATGAACAAGCAGATTAATGCTGTGGTGGGAAGGAGCTTTTTTCATCTTCGGACGCTGTCCAAACCTTGGAAAGAGCAACCTCTGAATGTTAGGCAAGCCCACACAATGAGGGACAGGTGCTTAAATCACACTTGAAGACACATTTTCATTCCTTTGCTTTTGAAACACAGCCTGAATGACTGCTCATGTCACCATGTATGATTTAATGTGTTTACGAGTTATTTGTTTTTTCCGTCTGATAACTTGTACAGCATTTTGCTTCAACTTTGTTGTTTAAAATGTGCTGTGGCGGCTGCAGCGGCATCTTACCAGAATGTAGAGCGCATCCTCTGAGCTCTTCTCGTACTCTCGAATGGTGGAGAAGACAGACAAGACCAGGCAGGAGAAGACCAGCAGAAACCTGAGAGGGCAAACACAGCCCACGGACTGATAATCAAAGTGACAAATAAGAAGCGGCAGCGTAATGGCCGTCTTAGCTTTCCGAAAAGTCAGCGGACAGTCCGCACATGTGAAACTTGAACATTTATTGATCGGACACTCGGCCGGGCCTGTGCGTGTGAGTGCGTGTGCGTGTGCTTGTGTGTATGATTGTGCAAGGTGCGTGTGTGTGTGTGTGTGTGTGTGTGTGTGTGTGTGTGTTCTTACACGTAAGCGTGGTATATGAAGGCCCACCCCCTGGGCCTCTCCAGAACGTTGTAGAGGAAATTCTGCAACCGCCTGTAGAGGGCGTTCCTCTTGGGAGCTTTCTTGCCCCCCGACACGCTGCTGCGCTGACGCCGAGGTCCTTCTTCGGCTGCGGAACACAAACGGGGCCCATGCTCAGAAATCAATCAGTCAGAATCAAAGACACTCGGAGTGGTCATTGCCACAATACTTGCTTCAGGGTTGTTTTTTTTTTTTTTTGCTAACATCCCAAGAGACCGGAGATGGCGCTTGATTTTCTAATTTATATACAGTATGTGCTCATGAGGCAAAGAGAGAACAAAAAATGCTGGAGCTTTGCCTGTAGGAGGTGCTATGGAGTAAGATTTAAAGGGGTCGTAATGGGGACACCTAAAAAAATTTTATGAGCCACAAGATACACACGATAACGCCAATTTTGAGTTTTCAAGCATGTTGAGGGGCAGTTGGAACGCCATTAATTACCACAATTCAACAAGAAGGTCCGAGCTCAAAACCCCAATTTAAAACCAAAACCCTAAATTTAATGAAAACCTAAACAATAGATGACAAACTTTAAATTCATTTTTTGTACGTCTTAAAATGTATTTTTGATCCATTTTACTTAGGGGTTAAAAATGAAATAACATTCAAGTCAATCAGTAACAAAGAGCATCCGATTTTGTTCCCTTCCATTTTACGGTCGTGTGACGTCACCCCAACCTTGACTCTGGTCTGCTTTATTTGTTGACACATTTATTGACAAACGTACCTGCGATGAGCAGCGCTCCGTCCCTGCTGGAGTCGGTCCCCCCGGCCTCCAGACCCACGAAGCCGACTTTCAGCTTCTTCTGGTCGGCCTGCGCTCCGGGGAACACGCCACCGTTTCGAGACTTCTGCACCATGACGGACCTCCGGACGTACGAGGCCGAGCTAGTGAGCTCGAAAGCCGGCGGACGGAGCTGCCTGGGTGTTCGGGTCAGCGCGGAACATCGCTGCCGAGAGGGAGGAAGATGAATGAAGAGGATGCTGGCCAAACAAACCAGCTGCTGATCTGCAAATTGTTTTGTCTCCTCCGAGGCGACTTCCGCGCAGACCGGAAGCGCAATGTCGTCACCGGTGGCGATCAAATACCCCCCTGCGCCCCCCGCCCCCCCAAAAAAACAGGTGAGATGACAACCAGACACAACACAGTGTGTGAGTCTGTGTGCGTGTGTGCGCAAAAGCACTTAATGTTAGACCTTCTGTCACCATAGCAACCTCATGTTACCATGACAACCACAGAAAGTACCCTCAAGCAGGAGGGAAGGAAGAAGTGTTGATGAGAGGAGGGGGCAATTATGATTGACGGGGTGTGGGCGTTTGATGACATCATAAGGAAGAGGACCAATCAGGATGTCAGGTTTTATTTTTATTTTTGAAGTAAATCATGACAGTTAATTGTAATGATGGATTATGGGTCGAAAAGATAATCAGTGATGTATAAGAAAATGATGAAAAAATGACGGTTGTGGCAGTTATGAGGATTATTTATGTGTCTCAACTGTTATTATAAATTGTGATAATCATTGATGATAATTGCTGAGATCTTCGTCCGAGTCGTCCCAGTTAGAAATGAGCAAATCGAGACAGTTGGCTCCAGTCACGTGAAGCGGTGCGGTCATGCATTGCCATGCATGGTAAACACGCTCTGGTTCAGGGTTGTTGAAATAGGGCGCTGTAGAAGTCGGCAGGTTCTGAGTGGCGGCTGCGGTAGCGACCGACCGTGTCGCCGATCAGCAACTTCCTGTTGACGTGTGCTGGTGGGGCGGAATCGCCACACGACTGTCGCCGACGGCAACTGTTCAACATCGTCTCCATCACCAAAGGGCCTGACACAAACACAGACAGGAAGAAAGGGGGAAAGTAGAGCGTTATGACAGAGTTGGGGAGTTAAGTAAGGATTCAAAACTTGGTAAAGGTTTCAAATTGGGGCTTGATGCCTGTGTTGGGGGTTCTAATTTGGGTTTCAAGATGGGGTTAAGCAAGGGTTAGGATTTTAAATTAGGGCTTCAAACTTGTTTATATGTTTTCAAGTTTAAAGTCTGTGCTGTGGTTTCAAGCCAGGGTTAGGGTGTTCAACTTGTATTGTGGGTTTTGGTTTAAAATTAAGGTTTCAAGACTGGGTCTGGTTTCAAGGTATTTAAGTAAGAGTTAGCGTGTTAAATTTGCATTTCAAACCTTGATTATGGTTTCAAATTAGATTTTGTTGGGGTTATAAATTAGAGTTGGGCTGTCAAATTAGGGTTTTAAGAAAAGGTTAGAGTTTCAAGACAGGGTTGGAGTCTTGAAGTAGGGTTTTAAGCAAGGATCAGGATGTTAAGATCGGGATTCAAACCTTGGTTGCAATTTTAAATTCAGGTTTGAAGCCAGAGCATTTAACAAGTTGGGGTTTGAAATTAGGGTGTCAAATAGCGTTTAGGGTTTCAAGTCTGTGTTGTGGTTTGAAACGGAGTTGGGGTTTCAAATGAAGATTTCAAGGCTGAGTTGGGGTCTCAAACAAGTGTTGAGATTTCAAATGAGGGTTTCCTGAATAGGTTATTTTTTCAAAAAGCTGTTAGTTTGTGGTTTCAAGCGAGGGTTAGGGTTTCAATTTAAGCTTTCAAAGTGAGTTCTTGAGTAAGAATTAGGGATTCAAGCTGAGCTTGACAATTGTGGATTTTAACGTGAAGGATAGGGATGTAAATGAGGGTTGTAAGAGACAGACCGAGAGTGCGCCTGCTGACGACGATCCCGTCCACCAGCGGCGGAAGCAAACTCCACTTGCTGCCGGAATTGCCACGTGTGATGATCCGGAAGAGGCCGCTACGGAGGCCGTGGACGAACACCATTTGGGCCTCCCACGCACTGATGGACACGTTGCAAGGACGGATGGACAGACAAGTGGCCGGTTAGTGAGTGCAATACTTGCTCGTGACCACAAAGTGTTGTCTTTACTCCACGTTTTACCAGCTGAAAGATTGGCTTTTGGTCAGCTCACAAACAGGAAAGGCCTCTAAACAAAACAAAACAAAAAACTTGGATGATGTCATAACCTAGAATCACCACAACATGACGCTGATGATAAAGCTGATGCTGATGATGATGACGCTACTGATGATGATGAAGAACATGCTTACCAATGTCCTCTAACCGTTCTACCCACACAATCATTAGCTTGGATTTGTGCCGGTCTTCAGCCAACCTTTGAAGTTCTGAATCCACCTCTTTCCAGTGCTTTGACCAAGCTGCAAACACAAAAAAGTGGGAAAAGTCATGATGATGATTACCGATAAGGTTTCAAGGCTGGGTTAAGGCATCAAGTCAAGGTTTCAAGAAAGTTTTGGGATTCAAAGTAGGGTTTCAAGCATATGTTTGGCTTTCAAGCCTGGGTTAGGGTTCCAAGTTTGGATTTCAACCCTCAGTTAGCTTTTCAAGTTGGATTTCAAGAGACAGCCCCGAAGACAAAGGACGAGTGATTGCATGATTTTGCATCCTGACCGGGCGATGATGAAGACGGAACGATGAAGGTGATGTCTGTCAGGGCGTCCTCGTACTTGAGAACAAAGCGATCGCCATCAAACGCGTGTCCGCCGCTCTGCCCCAGGGCAGGTATGAATTCTGTGAGGCAGAAGTAAGGAAAAACCTCAGAAAACCTGGCAGGTGATCGTGGCTGGCTATTGCTAACGTTAACGCTAATGCTAACCTACAACCTCGTGTCTGCGTCTAGCCGCCGCCACCGGCCGACCCAAACTGGACAGGAAATCCAGGAAGTGACAAGACACATTTGCACACGACTCCACATTTCGTAAAATCTACAGTGTTCAAAAAAATCAGGGTTAGGGTTTCAAACAGTGGTTAGTGTTCAGAAGTAGGGTTCTGAGCTTGGCTTGGGGTTTGGGTTTAATATAATAGTTTTGCGTGTTTCAAAGTAGCATTTGATGCCTGCATTACAGAGTTGGAAGTTAGGGTTTCAAATTGGCAATGGAGACCTCATTTGCTGTCTTCTGTCCTGCCCTCACGTAGAAGATGAAGGCGGAGTCCTGGGTTTTGAAAGGAAGCTGGTCTAAACGTCTCAGGTCCTCACAAAATCCTGGCATTGATGAGTCCAGTGACACCAACTGAGCTGGAACATCCCTGCTACCAAATTCCTGCACAGGGAGCACACAAGGTTAAGATTTCCAACAGGGCTTAGGGTTTTAAAGTAGGCTTTCAAGGCAGGGCTAGGGTTTCAAACAAGAGTCTCAAGAGTAAGAGGTTTTCAAGTTTGGATTTCAGCCAGGTTTAGGTTGTAATGTTGGGTTGCGTACTTTCAGGGTCTCAGGAGTCACCAGGCCCAAGTGGGACAGGAAGAGTCTCGCAGTCTGGACATGAGTGGCAGGACGAGGACAAGGTGGAGGTGCACATGTTGTTATGGCAACAGACCGGCAGAGATCCGCCTCCACCAGCTGCTGTTGCTCCAAAGTTGCTCGGAGATGATTTAAACGCTGCTTCTCCTGACAGACCACAATAGCAGAATCTTTCTACACCTCGACCACTCAGAAGTTCTGAAGACAACCAGCCTCATGCTAAATTCTGCAACTGACCCCCTAGAGCGTTCCGATGGCACATGAACCCTAGCATCTTTTGTACCTGACCTCCTGACAGGTTCAAAAAGTACATGGCCCCACAGTACTGTGCAAGTTCTGAAAGCACCTGGCCCCAAAGTATTTTCTGTACCTGACCTCGTTGCAGGTCATGAAAGCACTTGACCAGTAGAATCTTCTTCACGTGAAGCATTACTTTCCTCTCCACCAAACCCCCAAGGTCTCACCTCCTCAGTCAGGCCTTCCCACATGTCAGGAATACTCATGTCTGCTTCAACCAAAGGAACTGTGTTGACGTTTTCCAGAGGCAGCGGATTTTTGACACCAGACCCACAGTGTGATATTGCAGCATACACCTGGTCTTCACCGCCGCCACGTTCCTGAAGGCTGACCGCTTTCTGCATGGAAAACTGAAGATGAATTGGTCAAATATTCAGTGCAGGGTTATGTGCTCGGTCATCAGACACCTTTGGACTCGTTTTTTCCTCTCTGGGATGAAGGCGGTGCTGGAGAATCCAGGAGTGATGTGAAAACTGTCCTCGGATCAGCACCATGAGTGATGGGCACGATGCAGAAGCTTTGTACGTCAATTATTCCCGCAAAAATAACAGTCAGAAAAAAAAAATATATATATATATATATATATATATATATATAGAGAGAGAGAGAGAGAGAGAGAGAGAGAGAGAGAGAGAGAGAGAGAGAGAGAGAGAGAGAGAGAGAGAAAAACAAATGTCTCTGGCACCGTGTGGACCCTGACAACGTACCTTGTTCAGGTCCCTGATCTTGTTCCAGAATTCCTAGGATCACAGAAGCATCCAAAGCAAAATATCTGAACTTTTTCAGGGTTTTCTCACTCAGACCTGAGCAGCCAATCAGTGCATCTTCGTCTGAAAAGCTTCGAAAGGATGGGCATGCTCCAGACACCTGCATGATGCTGACATGTGGACAAGATGAGACATGTGAGACCAGGACGGATCCTGAAATTTTGTGATAAGAACTTTTTCAGAACGTTCACTTGGGAGGAGGAATGGACTGAACATTCTTTACCAAGTCTTCAACAACTCTTCAACAGTGACATACATAAAGGTCTTCACAGAGTTTCCACAAATCTCCATCAAATCTTTTTCAAGTGTTTCACAAGTCTTTAACAAATTTCATTGACAGTCTTTATCATCTCTTAAAAAAGTTTCCACTGGTCTTCAGCAAAAATCTTCAAGTCTTTTACAAGTCTTCAATGGAGACAAAAATTCATGTTGCAAAGCTGGTGTATGTTTGTTTTCCTCACCAATTTAGCGTGGCTTCAGCTGCCTCCTTCACTCTCAAAGAGACGGGATTGAGTTCTTTCTCCTCTCGACACCGTACTTCCTCTTCCTGTCTGGATTTGCTGCCTGACACGCCGAGCTCCACAATCTCAAAAAGCTCCAGCAAGCACTCCTGGATGTGGACAAAGAAACACGCTTGTACACAAATGCTAATTAACTTGTGGGCTAGTTAGCGCATTACACTGAGTTCTCAGTGGAGACCTGGTCCTCCAGGATGTCATGATGATTTGTAATCCAGGTGCTGAGGCAATGAAAGGCCACCACAATGATGGAATGAAGCTCTCTGGAGTGAAGCGGTGGAGGACGACCGCACTGGAACTCAATGTAGCGACAGATCGAGCTGACCACTCGCTTCTTTTCCTGCTCCACCACGGCCACATTCACCCTGGCCAGTCCTGCCAAAATCTCCATGGCCACCAGGCAAACCCCTGAGTCGTTCCTCCACTGGGCGGTCAGATGTTGAGTCAGCAGATGCACAATATCTATCCACAGGGCTGCCGCCATGGCTGATTGGTCAGCTGGTTGCCATGAAAACATGCACAGTAGGCATTCGTGATCTGAGATATGGCGGGAAACACTGGAAACTCACTGGATCTGTCGATGCGTTTGGTTCTGCCGTGTCCGGCATAGTGAGTTTTTCTCTCCTGGTGAGTTTGTCCCTCAAGCTCCTTCTGAGCGCAGTCCTGAACCAGAGTCAAGACGGCCGCTGCAGAAACATTGGTAAACGTGGGCAAAAATCATTCAACCAATAGAAATGCACGACTACCCAACCTAGGAGCATCTGCGTGTTGGTACTGTCAGTCTCTGTCTGCAGAGAACCCATCAGCAAACCAATCAGACGCAGCTTCAGGGACTGGAAGCTTCCTGTGGTGACTTCATCATCACTGGCGTCTCGGAGAGACTGAGGATGCAATCGTAGATCAGCGTAAACCAATGGTAAATTGACGTTAGCGGAAGATAAACATTTTGACTGGGCAGAGAAATGGGCAGTCATGTACAGCTGGACAGGCACATGGACGGACACATGATGTGGATATATGAACAGGAAAAGACATAATCTGCACATGTGGAGATGAAAGGACACGAAGTGACAAGACGTGAAAGGTGCTGTACCGCCAGCTGGACTGGTCCGAACTGCTGGGGAAGGGGCAAGAGTGACATCAGCACCAAGATGGATGCCCGCCGCAAGTCTGCCAGGCTCACGAAGGCCTGTAAGCTCAGCATCTCCCTGGGACACAGACACATACATGGACAGAATGTAGGAAAGTAGTAATTGGTGTCAAGGAGGTACACTGGTACCTTGTCTCACAGAAGGAGTTGAATTTGTTCCATGGCCAAGCTTATAACTCCAACCAATAGCCCAAGTTTATTGTGTCATGTTGCATTGGTGTTGCTGTATGGGGTTTATGAGGTCTAGTTTTCTGTAGTGGTGTCACCTTTCCAGCAGAACCTTCTCCAAGACGGAGATGAACGAAGGGAGCAGTAGGTTGACTCCGGCCAGGTCACAGCAAAACAACGAGGACGAGTGAAGCAGGATGGAGGACACAACGGGGCTCATGCTTTCACACACCCGCAGACCCTGCAGAAGGACTGCATAGAACCTGGACGATGGATGCAGACGACCATACACAATTGACGACATCACATGATCACAATAACCAATGATCAAGTTTTACAACTCTTTGAAAAGTCTTCAGAAAGTCTTAATCAAATCTATTTCAAGCCTTCAATGAGTCCTATACTCCTCAACAAGTCTTCTATATGGCTTCAACGGTTCTTCGTTCAGACCACACACATTTTAGGAGCTCAGTTGTTGAAATATTCAGATGAGTGAGTAGTAACTCGACCCTCCAGAAGACAAACAGTAACACACCTCGACAGGTACACGGGAAGGACGTCTTCTGAGGTTTTCTTACAACAGAAGATCCGACAAAGTGTCCCACAGGCCTCGGCTCGTCCATCTTCCCAGCGCTCTAACATCACACACACCTTTTCTGTTGCCATATGTACATAAACCTGCTGGGAGAGGTTTAGTACTTAATACAAACCAGTAGGGGCAGACTCTTTGTCAATGAGAGCAGCGTCAAACAGGCAGAAGCCAAACAAGTGAAGCAGGGAGTCCACGCTGCCCCTCATAGGGGACGGGAGACCACGGGGGTATGAGTACAACACCCATGAGAATGCAGAAAGACCACTAGAAGACTTCCACGGGTGGAAGGATGGGGAGGTCTGAGGGGAGGAGATGCAAAAATAACACATGCGAGGTGCACACATGGACATGAAAAGACGTGTCATGTTTATTCACCTGTGATGATCCTATATGAGGTTTCCCAGTGGCCTTGGAAATGTTTGATGTCTTCTGTCGAGTGTGCGGCGGAGGAGGTGATTTGCTGGGCATGCTCAGTATGTTGACGGGGGTCGGAGGAGCACTTCCAGAACGAGGACGCGAGACACCTGAGGGGACCCCAAAAAAAGTTTGCCCGAATGTTGACCGGATTGACCATTCAGGAAGCTCGCAGCTGAGACGTTGTTGCGTACCGTAGGAGGGCAGTCTGTCTCTGAAAGGACTTCGGGTGACAGCGACACCTGAAGAAGAAAAACTTGAACTTGGATCAGTGCAACCAAATGAAGACAAAAAGGCTGATTCAGTCATGAATGTATTGATTGGAAAAGATCATTTGTGAGCAACTGGGTTTACCGAGAGAAGGCAGACGGTCTCTAAAATGGATTCTGGTTGAAAGTCCTGGAGGGTCACAACAAGAAAAAGAAGAAGAGAAGAGAAGGAGAACAGACATGTGATGTGGACATGTAAGGACATGAAAAGACATGGCTAATGGTCAGATTGTGACCTGTATTTATCAGCGTTTGCTCCCCCGGTTCTCCACAGACCACAGAGACACCTGCAGGAATGCAAGTCAATCATCATGAAGTTTGGATCTGAGCCACAAAATTGCTGCTTCTTGGTCTTGGCTCTATGGTTTGTGTTGAGTACCCAGAAATGCATCCACCAATCTACTGATGGTAGACATGGCTGTGAGGAAGACGTCCTCCTGTCCTGGAGGAGCTGGGCCGTCAACCGGTGGACGCTTCAGGTCTGCAGGATTGCTGATCGGACACAGAGGAGTATTTGACTTGTGAAGGGGATTTGAGGACCACAGGACAGAGATGATGATCATGATGCAGTACCTAATCAAATGCAGAAACCTGAACCAGGTCTGGAGGGTGACCTGGTGGTCCATGTCATCAGGGATGAGAGTGGCGTCCTCATCTGGGACCTTCAAACGAGGGAAGGCAGGACCAAAACTCAGACGCAGCAACCTGCACACCCAAAGGTGTTGATGATGGTCCTCTATCCTGGTCCAGAGGATGGATGTAGCAGATGGTCGCTCACCTGGACGTTAGAGCAGTGACAACCCGTGTCCACTGGTCCAATGCGGCAGGCTGAAACCGCCATGTGGTCATCATCTGTCTCCACGACAGCCAAAAGGACCGAGGTGGGAAACAGCGGGAACAGGACACCAGACTAACCTGGAACAGGACTTCCATGGATGGTAGGGACAGTGGCTGGCATATGGCTGAATGGGGAGAGGAAGACTAATGCTCATTGGATGAATGGTGGATGGATGAATGGCTCAATGAATGAATGGGGAAATTAATTGAATGATAGGTGAATGTGTGAATGGATGGATAAGTTATGAATTAATGAATAGCTGGAATAGATGGACAAATAGATGATTACATGCATAAATGGATAAACGTCACAAGGGTCTGTCGCTTACGTGCAGAGGTGAGTGTGTCCAGTACTGATTGGTTGATACAAATCAGGAAGTGAAGCAGCATTTCCCAGGTCTCCCCACTCATGCCAGCACCCTCTTTGGCCAGCAGCTGAACTGCAGTCAGCACACGCTGGCAGACGGACGCGTACACCAGACTGGAACGGTCCGGCCTGAACGGGACCCACATGAGTCATGTTGCTCAAAGGCATCGGCTCAATCCGTAACTGACCTTGAAACTCACATTAGTTGTACAGTATACCATATCAGTGAAATGAATGCTCGCAACTTAAAGTAAAAAAATAAAAAATAGACCGATGGACAGCTCGTAACTTGAAAAACTGGCAATTTCGGGCACTTGTGAGCCGAGGTTGTGTAGTCTTGGGATTTTGTGTTCCGTGGTGACGTACCTGGGCATGAACAAGGTCCGAAGGTGTCTAAGGATCTTCTGGACATAAACGTTGGGCTCCTTGATGAGTGGCGGAGGGATGGAGTCTCGTGGGGACACCAGCACTGACATCCAGTGTGTGTAGATGTCCACGCATACGCGGACCGTGTCGCAGTCCAGCGGGAGGTTTAGGCTGAAGCACAAAACCTCCATCGTCCACTTCACCTGAGGGAAGGATCCGGGGGTCAGGGGGCAAGCAAACAACAGGCTCATCAATTGGGCTTCAACAAAGGCTAACTAACACACACACACTCACACAATCAAACACACACAGTTTCAGATGCACGTGTGGAAAAAGGGGAGAGTCAAAAGCGTGACTTCAACTTAAAACATTAATGAATGAAGTAGGAAAACATACAAATTTCTGTTTTGATAAGAGAGGATATTGTAAAAGAACGCGTCAGGTATTCATCACAGATTTTGTGTAATTATAATGAGTACAGTAAGTATTTCCAAGTTTTTTACTGGCCCTGTTACACACAGACAGGAGCTAATACATATGTACGGTACTCATATACTGTCTCCAAACAATCTCTCTCAGATGCACAAACACACGCTCGTCAATTGACGCTCTCTCGCTCGCTTGCGCCAACTCACTTGCGCTTCCGTGCGCAGGAGACTCCTGCTGGCGGGGTTTCCCAGGCAGGCACCCAGCGGCGTTACCACGGCAACGGCCACCTCTCTCGCCACGTGGTTGGGGAAGCAAGCGAGCGCACTGACGTGGCCCCGCCCACTCCGAGCTGATTGGTCCATGTGCGCCCGACTGAATACAAATAATTTGCTAAAATGACAAAAGTTCAAACGTCGAAAAAACAAATGTTTTGTTTTCCTTACTCAAAAGTTAACAGATAACGCATTAACGTCATGACGTCATCGGCTTGGTCCTTCATGATTGGTGGAGGGAGGCAGTCTCATTGGAAGACCATGGGTAGTATGGTTTCAAGTGTGGATTCGGGTTTCAAACAAAGATAATGTGCCAAAGTAGGGTTGAAGTCGAAGACAGGGTTTAAAAAAGGGGTAGGAAGTCAAGTAGAGTTTCGAGACAAGGCTACACTTTCAAATTGGGGTCCCAAACAAGACCCAGACTTTCTCGTCGGGTTTTGAGTTAAAAATTTGGGTTACATTCATGTATCGGGGTTTCCAATTAGGGTTTCAAGATATTCTTAGAATGTCATGTCCAGGTTAGGGTTCCAGACGTTTTAGAGTTTTAGGATATTAAGATTAAAATTGGAGAAAATTAGGGTTCTGAGCCATCATTAGTGTTTCAAATCAAAGTTAAGATTTCAAGCTATTATTAGGGTGTCAAGTCAACGTCGGTGTTTTAAATATGGGTTTCATGTTCGGTTTCAAGAAAGGGAAGAGTTTCAAATCATCGTTCCAATCCGTCATTGTTAAGGTTTCAAGGTTATGACGTTAGCATTTGCTGCCGGTCATTTCCCAATGCGGAAAAATGCACTTTCATTACAACTTACATTTTGAGAAATTCAACATACTCACTCAGTTAATTTGCGTCTTTGAATCAAAAGTCAAAAGCGGGACCTTGAACTCACCTGCTGCTTGCGGTGCCTTCAGGGTCCGCGTGGAAAGGCCGCGCCCCCTCTGGCAGTCACGTGACGAGCCGCTGTTGACTGTCAACGCGCCGCTGGCGCCTTCGGAGCAAGACACCATGACGTTACGGGACCGTGAAGGTTAAGTTCTTAAAGGAAAGGGTAGGGGTAAGGTTTGGAGTGGTTTCGTGGTGTTTGAAGCTGTTGGGTTCGGGTTTGAGTGATTTTCCTCTTTTATTCCTGTGTGTTTTGCCCCAGGAGTGTTCTTCTTCCCTCTCAAAATAAAGACAACCGGTCCTTGCTGGTCACACACGCTGTCCACGGAAAAAGACAAGAAGGGAAAAAGCAATCACGTCTGTCAAGCTTGCAGAACGCATGTCGTCATCCGTTTTAACACTAGGGGGCAATGTTGCCTTAAATCCCACCGAGTTCGGTGTCACAGGACGGTTTTCAATTCGGCTTTCACGTTCGGACTACATATTGGGGTTTTAAATGAGCTAGATGGCAAAGCAGGATTGAGGTTTCAGATCAGGGTTTTGAGACAGCCACAGGTTTGAAACGAGGATTTGCAAAATATCTGGTGATTTCATCGTGACGATGGGGGCGGGGCTCACATGCGAGTGAACACACGCAACCAGACACAGCACGCTGATGAGATTTCTTGGCATTTGCTGTTTTTATTTGTGTTGGGTCACTCATGTAAAGACACGCCATACTACCCGAGGAGGGTGTGTAAGAATGGATAGGGTTCTATGCCAGTATTAGATTTCCAGACAAAGCCACTCTTCGACTACAAACAAGACTGAGACTTTCAGATGGCGTTCTGCTCAGTTTTCAAGATGAGATGGGGTTACGGTTTCAAGTTAGGATCACAAATTAGAGGTTCAAGCTGGGGATGGGGTTTCAGATAAAAGTGAGAATAAAAAAAAAAACGAGGGCTTCAAACTTGGTACGGAGTTTCACACCATAGTAGCGGTTTCATGCTAGTTTTAGGCTTTTAAAACAGGGTTCAAGTTAGCTTTCCAAAGGAGGCTTTCACGGCTGCAAGAAGAGATGGAAGTTGGTCCTGGTGAATTCGTGGTGTATGCTGTCCAGCAGGGCGTCATCGTGGCGTGTGGCCGCGGGTGTCCCGCGGGCGTCGTGGACGAAAACGCCCCCTGCCGGTGTTGTCGGACGTCGCGGCCGCTCAAGCTCCGGCGTGTATGTGAAACTGAAGGCCGTGCGGTAGACCACGCCGTCGCACGGGCGTCGGAGGGAGATTGGCACCGTCACCGCACCGCTGCCACTGTGACAACTGCCGTTGCCACGACACCCGCACCACAACGCGCACACATCGGGAACCACGCAAACCAGGCACTTGGTGGACCTATGAAGAACAAGAGGGTTTCAAATAATTGTATCAAGCCAGGGATGAGATTCCACCAAAAGCTACGGTACAGATTTTCAAGTAGGGTTTCAAGTTATGGTTAGCCTTCAGAGTTGGTTTCTAAGTCTCGGTGAAGGCTTCTTAGTCGGGTCTCAAGTCAGAGGTTAGATCTAACATGAGGGTTTTAAGAATGTGGTCGGGTGCAAAAAAGGTTTAAAATCAGAGTTGAAAGCCAGAGTTGTGGTTTCATATTTTGGTTTGACTTAGAGATTCAAATTGGGGTTTCAAGCCAGGGTTAAGATTTCAAGAAATGTTTTCGGTCTCAAATGAGGGTTTGAGTCTGGGGTAAGCGGTTCAAATAAGGGTTAGGGTTTGAAATGAGGCTTTTTGAACCAGAATGAAGGTTCCAAAAAAGGTTTTCAAGTTGAGCTTTCAAAATAGGGCTGTGTGTGTGTGTGTGGGGGGAGGGGGGGTATGTGGATGAGAGTGTGGGGGTTTTGACTCCACCGGTGAGGGCGTTCCCGCCTCAGTTGCTCTTGGGTTCCTAATTGACTGCGGCTGGGCAACAAGGTCTGCATTGTGTATAGACGGACGCCAACCGTCCATCCGTCCGTCGGCCCCCTGCTCCGGGGGGGGAAGCAAGAGAGTCTTTGGATTGTTCCACCAACATCTTCGTGGCGCCCGTTCGGCTCACGTCCTGCGACCCGTCAATGGTGCCAAACACCGGTGGTTGCAACCACGACATTCCGGGCGCCCGTGCAACAAGGTGAGGTTGCAAGTCAAGGTTGTCAGGATTGCACTTTCAAAGTGCATCCTTCAACCCGCATTTTATAAGAGATTTGTCAACATAGGGTTTTAAACTAGGGTGACAGTTTCAAATGAGGGTTTCTAGCCCGTGTTCATCCTTCAAATTGTGTGTGGGTGTGAATGCTGAAAGCTCATGTGTTAAGTGGGGTGGAAGTGGGGGGAGGGGGTTTCCCAGCTACCGTACTTGAAGACTGTGTCGACCTCACTGCGGCCAAAGCAGACTTTGAGGTGAGGCCCCAAGTTCTCGCCGTGCACTTCCAACGTGGCTGCGTGACCGCCGCCACTGACCTTTGACACAGTGGGTCAGGGGAAAGTTGTGTGAATGAATGAATGAATGAATGCAGGTGGACTACTTGCAGTTTAGCGTGCGAATGACAAAGAAAGGATTGAAGGTTGAATGAGTGAATGAATGATGTGGCATATTGATGAATCAATGAACGAGTGCATAGCTTGCATTGATATGTCCCAAGTAAATGAATGAATTAAATGTTGGCATTTTTAAAGGAATGAGTGGATGGGTTGGACTGATGTGAGGAAATGAATGGATGTGAAGGACTGACTGTTGAACGAGTGAATAACTGAATGTGAGGTGTTGACATCTTGTGAATAAATGTGGAGTACTGACACATTTGAAGAGATTAATAAAAGGTTATGAATTTTGAAAGACTGTATGAGTGAATGCCTGACTGACTTCCAGGCCTGTGACGTCGGGAAAAGGCGTGACAGGAGTGCGGACGTAGGCGGCGTCTGCCTGACAGAAACCGAATTCTACCACCTCCACGCCGATAACGGTCCAGCAGGAGCCGTCGTTCAACAGCACTCGGCCGGCCTCCCTCGTGCTGGGCGTGGCCTGGGAGGAAGTCGAGGGGGGCATGACTGCTTAGTCAAGTCAAATTTATTTTTATGTCTATAAACTCAAAGTAGCACTGTAAACGTTGCTGACAAATGAGATGAAAAGAAAGGCGGGTCCGGCGGCTACCTGGTGCAGCACCACGGCGTCATTAGCGACAGCCAGGAAGGCTTGCGGCGTGTCTCGCATCTCCAGGGCGCATTTGTGCAGCTGCGACACGGGCTCGTCCACCGACAGGACGGCGTGTTGCTTGTTCACCTTGCGGATCACCTTGAAAAAAAAGGGCACTCGCCCTCTCACTGTGCGACCTTGGCATACACCAACGACTAATGAGACACTCCTGCATCACATAAAATACATAATTTTTTGGGAGGGGCTGGAACGGATTAATTCCAATTCCATTCATTCCAATGGGGAAAAATGATTTGCGATATGACTGTTTTGAGATACGCAACTAGTTACAGAGCCAATTCAACTCGCGCATGTGGAGGCACAGCTGTAGCACTTAAGGAGGGGAAATGCTGCCCTCACTCTTTCTGCTCCTCAAAAAAATGCAGCTAATGGGTATCTCAGTGTTGTCGTAGCAACTTGACGCCGGCGGGTTTGGCGTGCGTGCGCATATGCGTGTGTTTTGGTTTCCGAGGCCTGGCCGCTTCCCTGCTGACTCGCCAGCGTGATGGACGTGTGCTTCCGGGCACAAAAGCAACGTAGCAAAGTCCAAAATAGCTGGTGGACAAAATTTTTTTAAAAATCAGAGTCGTAAGAAAAAGGCCTCCTGAATGGCCTTGGCCGCGGATCACATCCTATGCAAGATTACTATAGTTCACAAAAACTAGCGAAACAACAAACTACAATTTAAAAAAACGTTTTTATTACCAAAATCAAATAAAAACACTACCAAAAAATACAAAAACTAAACCAAAATGAAAAAAATAAAAAGTCAAACTAAGTAATAACTAATTTAAAATCCTATGCAAGATTACTATAGTTCACAAAAACTAGTGAAACAACAAACTACAATTTAAAAAGACGTTTTTATTACCTAACTCAAATAAAAAAAAACTACCAAAAAATACAAAAACTAAACCAAAATGAAAAAAATTTCAAGTTAAACTAAGTAATAACTGACTTTATTGAAAAATCTCAAAATATCGTACGCCATCACACAGGCACAGGCACGCGTGCACCCGAGTGGGCGCTTCATGCCGGCACCATTACTGCAAAGTCATGGTGACATAACAGGAAGGCGACAGCTTTCATGCCACGTCGATCATGTGTCAGCATAATGTGACGTCCAAGCAGAAAATCACAGCGTGATGTCATAACATGACATCATAATTTCCACATCATAGCATCGCACAGCAAACCAACTTGTGAACTCGGAATTACTATGACAAATGTAATCTTGGACGTGGCATCACCAAGAGGATAGCATTCTCTTTACGGTGTGTGTGTGTGTGTGTGTGTGTGTGTGTGTCCCACCCACACACACGCACACGCACACACACACGCACACACACACACACACACACACACACACACACACACACACACACACGGAAGCTGGGTGGTCGTTGACCACTTTACGTCGTCCTTCAGCTCCTTCCCTTGCACTCTTATTTTCTCATCTTCATTTCCACCTTTCCTCACTCCCTACGTTGCTAATATCTCCGAAGTCGGCCACATTACTGACTTCGCTAAAACGACTTCAGTGAAAGGTGCAAAAATTGCTCACTGGACTAATGTTGCTAACATTATAATTGTCGTGAACCCAGCTGCAAGTGTTAACTTTGTTGCTGTCGCTGACGTGGACTAAAATGTCCGACCTTGTGAGAGTCGATAAATTCATGAGGACATCACAACGATCGCTAACATATTTGATGCTGCTCACATCGTGTGGATTGCTGACCTAAATGACTAGCTTGGTAGTCAATTCAAACCTACTTTTCGGGGTGAATTAGAATATGTTCGTCTGATGTGGAAAAAAAAAATACATTTGTGACACTGTTTTAGTAATGTTCATCACACTAGCAACGTTGCTAATGTGGTGAACCATGCTACTGTGGCTAACGTTGTTCATGTGGCTAACACACCGAGCGTGATGGTGAAGGCAGTCCACTGTCGGGCGCTGGCAACAAAGGCCCCGCCCTCCACGGCCAGGTAGCGAGTGTTGACTGTCTGAGAGCGGAGGCGATTAAACAACGCAACACGGGAACATGCTGAGATACACACTGAAACACACACGTGTAACACATGCACACAGGACACGTGTGCAAACAGACATAAAGTCATTACACGCACACACAAATGCACAAACACACACAAAAAAATCATTTGAGACGCGTGCGCACAGGAAGTGGTTGATGGAAGTAAAATGCGGTGTGTACTAACAGTCTGCATTCTTCATGGTTTGTCTCTTTTGTGACGGTTTGGAGATCACTTTGATCAGGCGGCTGTGGAAGGAGCCCACTTCCTGTTTGATGGAGCCCACTTCCTGTCTAACGGAGCCCACTTCCAGGAAAAGCCTCAGTAGGAGACGGAAGTGTTTCCTTTTATCCTGGTCCGAGATGAACAAAGACTTGGAACACGCCAACATCCCAGTCTGGAAAAGTCACGTGAAACAAACAGCAACACTGTCAATTAGCATAACAGTTCTAACTATGCTAACAATGCTCTTGTCACCATTCGCTAACATCGATGAAACACGTAACATAGTTGACATTGCTGGTAATTGGACGTATATGCGACGTAGCTTGAAGTGGCTAACGTTGCTAACGGTGTATGCCGTTATTAGCGCGTGACGTGAACACTGTCAGGGCAGCGAGAACCCAAAAGAGGAGGCAAGCAGCGGCCATCAGGGCAAGTGTGTGGGGAGTAAGTGTGACACAATTAATAGATGGACTGACATGGACAGAATGGTCAAGATGAGCACATGATCAGAGATGAGTGACACATGAATGGAGGTGAACATGAGTGGATGTAAAGAACATACGACTTGACATAATTCACACACGAATGAACATAAAGCGTTTGACCATGTTGGGGAGCGTTTCAAAGTTGAGCTTGTGGGCATCGCTGTGGGTCAGCGCGGCAGTGTCCACGCACATGTAGCCACGTACGCCGCCGCCAGCGCACGCGCCCGCTGGACACAACACAGGAAGTCAGACAGGAAGTGAGACGCGGCGAGGACAGGGTGGCCGTCCCCTCGGAGAAACAAAGGCATTCACCTTGGAGGAGGTCCTGTATCAGTCTCCAAATATTGCCGCCGATGTAAACACACGGAGGAGGACAGAAGAACCTGAAGACGCAACAACGGTGGGATGAAAACGCACACGAATGGACGCAAAATGACACGATGAAGGACATAATGAACATATGAACGGCATGACGAACACATGATGACCGTGTTCTGGTTGTTGTCGTGGTGATGGCAAATGTGGAGGCCCCGAGCGCGGGGAGACAAGACAGGAGGATTCAAAAAAGGATTAATTTTCAGAAATACAAAGTACACAAAGACAAATGAGGCACACAAAACCAAGAAAAGTCTCACAAATCTACATTCAAGACACAAACGAAAGACTCACAACACGAAACAAAAGATTGACAACCAGAAAGAAAGCGATGCACATGAAGACCGCTAGAATGGACAAGATGAACACACGAACCTCTTCTCGTTGCCGTAAGACTTCTGAGCGACTTTGGCGTGCAATATGACGACGCTCTGGTGGTCGAGCGCTCCACCTCGAGGCGCAAATGACTGGCAGGCTGGCTCCGCTCGTCTGATTGGATGAAGAGGGTCGTCAGTGACATTTTTCATGAATGTACTTTACAAATCACTCCAATTTGGACAAAAAGTATTGATTTTATTTTTGTCCATATGTGAGGTCAGAATCTACTCGTGTGAGGTTCTGCTCCACACCCAAACTCATCCAAGTGCGTCTTTATGACACATTCTTTCTTTCTTGGTGCACCAGGAACCCAAACAAGAACGTTTTGTCAACCTGAGTGGACGGGTTGTTTTCAGTCGGCGTCCACTTTGTAATCCTGAGAACATTCCCGCGCTCACGCACACAAGCGGGCTCCTGCTTGACCTTTGCATTCTTAACAGGGGCAAACCCTGCTGGTTTTTTTAAAAATCAGAGTCGTAAGAAAAAGGCCTCCTGAATGGCCTTGGCCGCGGATCACATCCTATGCAAGATTACTATAGTTCACAAAAACTAGTGAAACAACAAACTACAATTTAAAAAGACGTTTTTATTACCTAACTCAAATAAAAAAAAACTACCAAAAAATACAAAAACTAAACCAAAATGAAAAAAATAAAAAGTCAAACTAAGTAATAACTAATTTAAATGAAAAATCTCAAAATATCGTACGCCATCACACAGGCACAGGCACGCGTGCACCCGAGTGGGCGCTTCATGCCGGCACCATTACTGCAAAGTCATGGTGACATAACAGGAAGGCGACAGCTTTCATGCCACGTCGATCATGTGTCAGCATAATGTAACGTCCAAGCAGAAAATCACAGCGTGATGACATAACATGACATCATAATTTCCACATCATAGCATCGCACAGCAAACCAACTTGTGAACTCGGAACTACCATGACAAATGTAATCTTGGACGTGGCATCACCAAGAGGATAGCATTCTCTTTACGGTGTGTGTGTGTGTGTGTGTGTGTGTGTGGGTGTGTTACCATAGGGGGCAGAGTGAGTCCAGACTCGGTGCACACAAGTTGGACCACTGAACCGTAACAGATGAATCCTTCACTCAGCACAAAGTCACCTTGACGCTCAGCGTGTTGCTCCTCCACTACACACACACGCACACACGCACACACGCACACACACACACACACACACACACACACACACACACACACACACACACACACACACAGGTACACAAACCCCAAAAGACTCAGACACACACATTCAGAGGTAAAGAAACACTTGCGGGGACATGCACACACAAACACTCATGAAGCACACACAAGAATGCACAGACATTTGTGTGTACACACAGAAACACATTACTTTGTAGGGTGAACGCGCATAGCCATCTGGCACATGTATGTTTGCGTGTAAGCGGAGCATGCTGGCCAAGGAAGTGACGGACAGACGGAGGTCCTGAGTGAGGAGTGGTGGACCTTGCGGCGCTGCCGGGTGGTCCGAGGTGGGAGTTAAACAAACACACACACACACACACACACACACACACACACACACACACACACACACACACACACACACACACACACACACACAAACCAGAAACATGGAAGCTGGGTGGTCGTTGACCACTTTACGTCGTCCTTCAGCTCCTTTCCCTTGCACTCTTATTTTCTCATCTTCATTTCCACCTTTCCTCACTCCCTACGTTGCTAATATCTCCGAAGTCGGCCACATTACTGACTTCGCTAAAACGACTTCAGTGAAAGGTGCAAAAATTGCTAACTGGACGAATGTTGCTAACATTATAATTGTCGTTAACCCAGGTGCAAGTGTTAACTTTGTTGCTGTCGCTGACGTGGACTAAAATGTCCGACCTTGTAAGAGTCGATAAATTCATGAGGACATCACAATGATCGCTAACATATTTGATGCTGCTAACATCGTGGGGATTGCTGACCTAAATTACTAGCTTGGTAGTCAATTCAAACCTAGTTTTCGGGGTGAATTAGAATATGTTCATCTGATGTGGAAAAAAAAATAAATAAATACATTTGTGACACTGTTTTAGGAATGTTCATCACACTAGCAACGTTGCTAATGTGGTGAACCATGCTACTGTGGCTAACGTTGTTCATGTGGCTAACACACCGAGCGTGATGGTGAAGGCAGTCCACTGTCGGGCGCTGGCAACAAAGGCCCCGCCCTCCACGGCCAGGTAGCGAGTGTTGACTGTCTGAGAGCGGAGGCGATTAAACAACGCAACACGGGAACATGCTGAGATACACACTGAAACACACACGTGTAACACATGCACACAGGACACGTATGCAAACAGACATGAAGTCATCACATGCACACACACACAAATGCACAAACACACACAAAAAAAAAGCATTTGAGACGCGTGCACACAGGAAGTGGTTGATGGAAGTAAAATGCGGTGTGTACTAACAGTCTGCATTCTTCATGGTTTGTCTCTTTTGTGACGGTTTGGAGATCACTTTGATCAGGCGGCTGTGGAAGGAGCCCACTTCCTGTTTGATGGAGCCCACTTCCTGTCTAACGGAGCCCACTTCCAGGAAAAGCCTCAGTAGGAGACGGAAGTGTTTCCTTTTATCCTGGTCCGAGATGAACAAAGACTTGGAACACGCCAACATCCCAGTCTGGAAAAGTCACGTGAAACAAACAGCAACACTGTCAATTAGCATAACAGTTCTAACTATGCTAACAATGCTCTTGTCACCATTCGCTAACATCGATGAAACACGTAACATAGTTGACATTGCTGGTAATTGGACGTATATGCGACGTAACTTGAAGTGGCTAACGTTGCTAACGGTGTATGCCGTTATTAGCGCGTGACGTGAACACTGTCAGGGCAGCGAGAACCCAAAAGAGGAGGCAAGCAGCGGCCATCAGGGCAAGTGTGTGGGGAGTAAGTGTGACACAATTAATAGATGGACTGACATGGACAGAATGGTCAAGATGAGCACATGATCAGAGATGAGTGACACATGAATGGAGGTGAACATGAGTGGATGTAAAGAACATACGACTTGACATAATTCACACACGAATGAACATAAAGCGTTTGACCATGTTGGGGAGCGTTTCAAAGTTGAGCTTGTGGGCATCGCTGTGGGTCAGCGCGGCAGTGTCCACGCACATGTAGCCACGTACGCCGCCGCCAGCGCACGCGCCCGCTGGACACAACACAAGAAGTCAGCCAGGAACAGAGAC